TTGAAAAAGGCCCGTCACCAAAGTCTCGCCGCGATGGCATGACCAGTAACACGGTCATCTGACAGTCAGCATGTTTGGAGAAATGGTGTCACACATGTCATCTGGCCAGCCCGCTGCGTGTCGGCTGGCAAAGGTGGTGGAAAGAACCATCGCCTTTGCCAAGACAATTGCCCTTAGCAACTACTATTGTGGAGAGAGGAGAATGAAACGAAGGCAGCAGGCTTGCCCGTAGGCGCCTTGGGTGAATGGCATGCAACCTTGAGATATGAGCATGAGGATCTCATGGTCAGGAGAGGTCATACCCACTTGGGACCTACCACTCGCTCCCTACTTATCCCCGCTCCCCACATGGTACCTTTATGTGGGACTAGGGGGAGGGGGACCGTCGAATGGCCTCTTTGATGTCAACTGTCCATTGCTCGTCAGGCATGTAGAGCACGTGACATGTGCATGTGAATCATAGGCGGCATGTCTTGATGATCCAGGACACCTGAACAAGAACCACAGACCCTTTTCTCACTCGTACGGTCAGGTCTTTATGCTTGCTAGTTTAATGCTGGTCTGGTCTGGTCTGGTCTAGTTGCGCCGAGCATGGTACGCACGTGACATATGCGCAGCATGACGGCAGGTCTGTAGATTGCACGTTGAAGGCCCTGTAAACGCATCCCATGCGTAAGGCCCTGCCCGTCCTCAATTCCTGTTAGCAGTTGTGGATCGGTTCGTTTGAACGGGCCAACCAGTGTAAAATATCATGCATGTGTATTGATTATATTGGTGTATATCAATACAAATGATCATGTGTGTGATATCAATATCTCTTAGCGTGTGCGATGGGGGTTCGGCCCGACGTAGCGCTATGTGGGTGACACGTTCGTGGTCACTGCATCGTATTATTAGTGCTTGCCAATTTATATCATGTTTTGCTGGACAACACCCCTGAGCTATCGTAGTATACTGTAACTGGAAAAGTACCGTATCCCTGAGCTACCGTGGTATCCTGTAAGTGGAAAAGTACTGTATCTCTGAGCTACCGTGGTATACTGTAAGTGGTATACTGTATGAGAGTACTGAAACAGTACATTCCACATGCTGTTTCCGCTGCCTACGCCAGGCAGCGACAGAGGCGTGACGAGACAGATGGCGCTGGTATCAATGTTACACTCGACGCGAGTGGGGTTCACATTCAACACGAGTGGGACTCACACTCCACGCAGATGGGGTTCACATTCGACGCGTTGTGGGGGTGGGTGGGCTATATACCTCTATTCACAATCGCTAGCTTTATATCATTAACCGCAAGCGAACGGCCGCGTTTCGCGGAGGCAGCCACGAGGGCAGAGGTCACTAATTACTCACTAAGCACGGTGGGCATAACTGCTTGAAACAAAGCTGTTCAACTTTTAGGGTTAAAGAACGAGTGACGTCACTTTGTCTATCTTCGGGGCGAGGGGGGCGGGACAGAGGCCCAAAGCTGACTTAAGTCCCTCAATGTTTCTCTGAGCCCTCCCCTCCTAGTCCCCCGCGAAGAAGGGAATGCTGACTGAAGGGAGCCCTGCAAACCTCCTTCAACTATTGTACCTTAACACAGTGATATTAGTATCATGCTCGTTGTGTTCCGACTAGTATGCTGTACGCGCCTTGTGTTTGCATCATGCCAACTCCCCCGTGTGATAGGCCAGTCTGCAAGCTGTGACATGTTTTTCATGACATAACACAGGCAGATAAGGACAAAAATGGGCTCTGATATGTCGCGGCTTTTAAAGCACAGGGTCGCCTGGATAAGAGTCAACTAACCTGTTCCTCAACAATAGCCGGTGTATTTGTCCCGCAATTGTGACATTCGCAACAGTTGACTGTCAATCCAATGGCAAAACACCAGGAGCGATATCACGGCCAGTTATCAATATCCATGAAAAAGGGACTACAAATTTTCTCCTGATGGCCCCCTGGCGCTCCTGGATACGCAACAGCTGAGCCTGCTGCAGGCGGTCGGATGTCCTGCCGGCCTTGTCAACGGCGACGCGTCACTCCTCAAGTCTGAAGGCGGCCTTGAGTTATTGAACGTTTGCTGGCTTGTCCAGTGGACAAGGTTATTTAGCTTATCGCATGGCATGAAGTCCAGTGGTGGCAGACTGTGCGAGCGCACAGCCATTTATCTGCTGTCGTCAGCTGATGGGCGCTCCATTCAAATGCGCATCTAACTAATCTAGTGACACCTGTGCCCTGCGTGTTGCCAACTGTTAAAGGGAGGGTTCCACATTTGCATGGGGGTTTTAACTGAAACAGCCATCTTAAAGCCATTCGATGAGCCAAAGCCAAGCCAAGCCATTTCAAAGTTACCCACGCGTCCATGCCGACATAATGACGTCATTCAAATCCTGCCATTCCAGTGACCACGCGGCAATCAAAGCCAAGACAAATGTAATTATCGAGTCGTTCGCATCTAGCGTTTGTGAGCACAATTTCCAGGTATAACGGCCGTCAATGGGCTTTCAATCAAGGTTGTGCAAAGCACAAGTACGCAATTAAACAATGACGTGTTAAAGAGATTACCAAACAGAGAAATTGTGTTGTCTAGAGCAGTCTTTTCCACTTACAGTATAATAATATTTATAAGTGAGCTCATTTCATAACATGTGATGCTTGCTTCAAATCTTTCAATTTGGGACATTCTTTTCAAACAAGATTTTGCAGCGCAATAAGAAGACCTCACACAGCGTTCCAGCTATGCATTCAAACGGAAAAGAAGGGATATTTTAGCACCCTCTTTGCATTTTTAATACAAGTGTACACGTGCAGTGCGGTATGGTGACGCGGCTATTTAAAAAAACAATCCGAACATTTTAACTGGGCACATGTCTAAGGCGCACGCCCACCCTAAACGCTGGATGGTGCGCGAGCCCTGAACCCACCATACGATCGTAACAATCCGGGTCGACAGCAGCACTTCGCAACGAAAGCTTAACACGCGCCCGGGTGGCCGACTAGATACGCTTCGCTCGGGTGGGGTGGGGGTCAATTTGACCTCCTGAGATCTCGGGAACTTAAAAAGCTAGAGGCACCAAATTTACAGGGTGTGTTGACCTGTACGTTAACTCACTTAGGTCATAGCTTGAGATTCCTAATTCATGACCTTCAGATCAAATAAGGTTAAACAAGGTCAAATTCAAGGTTGGTCTCCAAAGTGCCTCCCAAACTTAGACAACTGCTTCTGAGCAAAATTGTACAATGTCATTTAAGGTCTGTGACCTTGTTTGACCTTTTGAAGGTCAAAATTATACAGGACTGCTTTGAGTGTTGCATTTGCATAAGCGACAAAGATTACGATAGAGAGTATGTTCCTAAAAAACAAAATGTCGACCTGGGTCATCTCAGGTCAATGACCTTTTCTAACCTATAAGATGTCAATGAAAAATGCATAATGCGGTTTGTGCTATCAATAAATTCTAAATGAACACCATAAACTATCAGAAATTGCCTATAAGGCAATCGCCAGAGTAATAAGACAGGCTAGTTTTGACCTTGGTCAAACCTTCATACCTAACCTTAGGTGAACGTACTTTGTTCATTCTACATTTGTGTAGGCCTAAAAAGGCATCTCAGAGATGTATGGCCTCGTCAAACACTCCGTCGTGGCATGAGATTGAACGATTTCCTTGAAATTGCCTTCGCTAAAACCATGACCTGACGCTGACCTGCCATAGGTCGGCGACCTTACAAGGTACATCTAAATTTTTACATCAAACGATCCACTGTTCAATTGTCTACAGCTATGACAAATTTGGCGCGGCTACGCCACGCCACACGGAAATTATTCTGGAAAAGCCTTCGGAGGGGGGAGGGAGGGTCAACTTGACCCCCAACCCGAACGCGTATTAACGCGCCGCATGCTCGGCATGGTCCACCCCGCTCTCTTCGCCAGAGGCCGGGGCGGACCATGTCACCGGACCGCCAGCGCGGCCTCTGCCACCGGCCACAGGCCATAGGCTATCCTAGATAGCTGCCCCATTGGAAGGCGTTGGCGAGCTAGCCTTTTTCAGATGACCATTTTAGAATCCATTTGTCTATAGACAATTTCATGTATGTAAAGAAGACCTAATTATTCAAAGTCTGTAAACAAATAATAATGTATAATTATCTGAAAAAGAAATCAGCAACCCCGATAGCTTTTCGGTTGACCTTCTCACCTGACACTTTGTTTATATTTGCTCCGGATCTGTGGCTTAATGGGCAGCGAACGGAGGACCAATGATCAGCTGACCCAATCCACACTGGCGACACCACCCTGGTTCTGCCAGCATCGAGTCGCGCCAAAATCAAGCATGTCTTGGCACGCTCTAATTTCACTTAGCGCATGCAAAGAAGTGTTAGTTCCATCAAAATGCTCCGCGGAACTCAATCTATCTGCCAAACCCAGCTTCTTCGGCAGCCAAATTGCTACAGGGCGCTACTTCGTCTTCTCTTATTTGGTGGTGCAGCATTTCAGTGTGGCATGGCAGCATTTTCATTTGGGATTACGAAGGTTTGTGGCTTTTTCACCAGCTAGAAATAGAAACCGATGCCGCCACTGCCCGTTGTCACATGTGACGTCACCACAGCTTCCGGTTACACCCGGAGCAGGTCGCGGTCCAGCGAAAACATCCGCAGCGGTACCCCGCTGCACAGTGGCCTCCACCTCCGCAGCGGAACCCCTCTGCACAGTGACAGCCACACCCAAAGACAAACCCCGCTGCACAGTGGCGGCGGCACCTGCAGCGGAGCCCCGCTGCACAGTGGCAGCCACAGCCAAAGACAAACCCCGCTGCACAGTGGCGGCGGCATCTGCAGCGGAACCCCGCTGCACAGTGGCGGCCACACCCGCACCGGCTGAACTCGTAGCCGAAGCCCGCCACACTCGCAGCTAAAGCCCACCGTGCCCGGAGCCGAAGCCCGCCACACTCGCAGCCAAAGCCCACCGTGCCCGCAGCCGAGTCGTGGCGCGCGGGGTCAGCAACACTCACAGTAGAAGCCGGCGAGACTGCCGACCACCAGCAGGAAGAGGACAGCCAGCGCCACCACGACGATTACGGCCGTGTTGGACCACTGCTGACGGCGGCCCAGGCCCGGCGGACCTGGCGGCGACGGGAGCATAGTACAGTGACAGTCGACGGCAGTGATCACAAGACGTTCCGGTGAGCCACGGGCTTCCCCGCCCGAGAAGCGATGGTATCCCCGCAGTTGGTTCCTCTGCTGACGGGGTATTACCCTGGTCATGCCGGGGATGCTTCGCCACTGGCGGACGCATGACAGAATGCTAATGAAATATCGTCACCTGGTATCTCAATCTCCAGCTACTGGATCAGAAAAAAGGAAAAAGGCTATGAATGGCGCTGATCGATGTTGCCCATTAGTTCTCAAAGAAGCATTTTTTTTATGCGACTGATGAGGTTATAAGTCCCTCGACAGGCCTAAAAAAACGACATACTGGAAGGACGCCATGACATCTTAACTAGCGTTATGATAGTCGTTTTGGACTGATGGCGACACCAAAGGAAGTGAGCGTTCTTGCATAACTGAGTCATATCATGATATTATAGAAGGTCAAGAGCCAATGTCAGGTCAGATTAGGGGCATTTCCTGTCAAAGCAAATTTTCGCAGGCTGCACGATGGGCGGTGTTTCTCCACACCGACAGCTCAGCTGGTTGGAGTGCCTGCCTTCTGATTCACCTAGGCATGGCGGGGTGGGTTCGAGTTGCTTTAACTGCTCTCTGCATGCCCACGACTGGGATGACCTACGGCCGGCGGCAGCGGCCGCCCCAAAGATCAGATGACGTCAGAGGGCAGGGCAGACCTTGCTGAGCATTGCGGCTCGTTATACTTTCGTCGCGAATTTCTGTCATAAACCTGAAATTTACCGCTCGGATGGCGGTGCCAGGATTCACGCAACACGCGCTACTTAGCGTGGGCACATATCCCAAAAAGATCCGAACTACACCGCACACAAAATCAATTGTTCCACCTTTTCGTTTCATATAATTTCCTTCATCACACTTACAGACAAAACATGACAGAAACCTGATACTTGCGACTTTATCGTGCAAAGTGACATCTAGCGTTTAAGCAAGGTAGGTTAAGAGCTTATGATGTATGGTACCAGCTTGCTGTCCCAAAACATTAGCAAGTGGTTGATTTAACGCAAATGTGACAGAGACTTGATCTAAAATGTCATGCACTCTGTGAATTTTGTCAATATACCTCTAATTTATTTAGGCTCATCTGAAAATGTATGCCACCGAGACCCTTGGTTCAATCGGTAATGGCTGCGGGGTGGAGATCGGGTTAGTGGACATCGATGGCTTCGTCCAGCTCACGAGCCCCTATGTCTGAAGCTTCCTGAAAAAAGCCGTTAACCTTTCACGGCCAGAACTTGCCACTCTGGCTGGGTTATCTGTCCGCCACGACTGACTTTTTCAGACTTATGGGTTGGTGATGGAGGTAACAGGTTGGGCACTACAACGTTCATTCTGTGCCTCTACTTGTTCCGAGTCTAGCCCCGCGCCGGGAGGTGACGTCGTGGTGAGGGCCGGTGCTCAGATGAGTCTCCCAGCCACGGCGAGCGGGCCGCCGACACGCGACAACGGGCCGCCGACGCGCGGCAGCGGGCCGCCTACTCGCGGTAGCGGACCGCCGACACGCGACAGCGGACCGCCGACACGCGACAGCGGACCGCCGACACGCGACAGCGGACCGCCGACACGCGACAGCGGACCGCCGACACGCGACAGCGGGTCGCAGACGCGCGGCAGGGGACCGCCGACACGCGGCCGGCGTCGGTGGCGTGCCTCCGGCAAGAAAAACGTCGCGAGGGCGACGGGTGAAGCGGAAAATGAGGAAATGTGGATGCCCTGGGTGGTGGATGTCTTCGATGGTGTTTAAGCGACTCTGTACTGCATTTTTACTCGCAACGCCACTGGTTCGTCGCTGCGTGACCGCTTATGCTCGCGTTGTCGATCCTCTGTGTGGGTGCATGCGGTTTGCCACCAGAATAGCCCGTCGTCATAGTTGCAGCCATTTTAGTGCTCGCCATCTAGACAGTATTCGAGTTAATGCACTATTAACATTATTTCAAGCCCATTGCCCAGCAGTCATTATGTCTGAAACAAATCCGGTTCGCGCTGCTCTCTCTCTCTCTCTCTCTCTCTCTCTCTCTCTCTCTCTCTCTCTCTCTCTCTCTCTCTCTCTCTCTCTCTCTCTCTCTCTCTCTCTCTCTCTCTCTCTCTCTCTCTCTCTCTCTCACACATTAGCGTCGCACCGGCTAGGGGTATGTGGTTACTCACCAGCCGTCGGAGACACATAACGTACTTATATGCCACTTTTCATAGTTGCTTTGGATTTGAATAAACTGGCAGAGTCCATCACCCGCCTGCTTTCCGGTTCTACTGCCATCAGGGAACTTTGTCTTTATAAGACCAGTCGCCGATGGCTAAAACGAAAACATCATCTCAAGACTCATATGGGCAATTGAAATGCGGCCAGAAATAGGGTTGCCTCTAGTCATATCTTGCTTGTAGGCAGTTGAAGAACAAAACTAGCCAGCGAAACTCAGTGTTTTTCAGTCAAAGTGTTCAAGTTGCATCATGTAAATCACCTTTGGTGAAGTTTTGCTTTGAGAAACTGACATAGAGGATCAACTCACTAGGGCAGCATGGCTTTGTGAGCGCCTCGAAAAGACAAACGTTAGCTCCCGCCCCATTTGGGCATGCATAGGCCCAGGTGGTGTTCGTATTACTTGTACCATGTGCTGGTCCGATGTACAGCTGGTGATTCGCTCAAATATCTGTGAGTTGTAATCCCAACGACTTTTTTGGAATGGGGCGTAATAGGCCCCATCAATGCTCATGACCACTTGACTGTTAACAAAAAGGCAATGGGATGCATAACACGCCAACAGGCATTTAAGTGAACCCGGAAGGATGACATCATCCAGTCAATCTCCTGTCTGGTGTGCTGCTGCTGTCGGTGTCGCTACTGTGACCACAGACCACAGTCGGCCGGCGACCAGGAGCCAACTCGCCATGTTTCTGGGGAGCATACATATCCAGCACCGAACCGGCCTGCTTACGTCCACCACAAATCAGCTCCTCCCCTCATGCACGCGCGAGCGTACGCACGCACGCACGCACGCACGCACGCACGCACGTACCTACTCACCCTCACACGCAGACGCGTGAGCCGGCCAAGCGCGGAATCACCCCTCGCCACTAGAAACGTCATCTCATGGCGGGAGCGGAGCGCGCCGGGGCGCCGGGGCACGCCTGTCGAAAACACGCTCTCGCCTGCCCAGCGTCCGACAGCGTTTACCGAGGTCCCTCCGGTTGCGACAGCTCGAGAGGGTCGGTCAGCGCACTGCGCGACACCCGCGCTGGACCGTCGCGAGGAGGCGACGTGCTGGCGCTGTTGGTCGACGGAGGGCTGGGAAGAGTGATGGGCTCAGTGTGGGGCGGAGTGTTGGGCTCAGTGTGGGGCTCAGTGTTGGGCAGAGGCCGCACGGGACGGGTGCGAGCGGTCGTGAGAGGGCCTGCGCTGGCGCACGAGGCCGCTCGATGGCCATGTACCCTGGAGTCCCTTCAGACCAACGAAATTGGCCAACGATCGCAACTTAGTGGGTCGTCATGACAACGCGCCGCACAGGAAAATGCATCGGCTCACGTGACAAACCTGTCGGAGACCATCAGATCCGCATTACCAAAAACTCGGCAACCCAGAGGGGAGGGGGGGGGGGGGGGCTGATTCAGCCCTGCCCTCAGCCACCACCTTTAATCCGTGCATTGACTGAGATACTCAGAAAGCAGTTTCGATTTGGCAAGGTTTCGGCAATAGAACGGGTCAGGAGGCAGCAATTTCAAACTTATAATGCCTTCCGTGGCGTTGGTTGGGGGCCGTGGAGGCAAATATGTACACTACAGAGGCAAAAGGCGTTCGGAGCAGGAAAAGACACCCAACAGCCTATCCCCTTCTCCACGGATTTCGGGCAAGTCTCCAGGTTGATGGAATTCACTTTAAGGTTGGACAAGCTGACCCACTGCCCCCCCCCCCTCCCCGGTAGCGGCACCTCTCAAGACCTCATTGCCCTAGTAATGCGGAGCAATCGGTATGTGCCGCGGTCATGCTCAGAGGTGCGTTACGCCTCTCGGCCACCCTTCCGCAGCATTAATCGGGGTCCCAGCTGCCCTCGGACGGCGTCCATTCCTTCAACCACTTCAAACTCTTCACGGCTTCAGAGCTTCGAATGCTCTTGGACGTTAATCCACCCACTCGTTCTATATTCGGAGTCGGTCCAACGCCTCCGAAGCGTCTAAGCCAGTTGAACTAGTCGCGTACGTTGTGGTTCTGATCTTTGGCTAGCTGTCGGCTCCTGCTAGAGCTACATCTCGTAGCTGTGCTCATAAGCATATTTCCAGTTTTTGTCGACAAGTACGTGGAACCGCTGCATCGTGATCCTAACGCTGATTAGAATAGTCAAATCGAAAACACAGTTGGCTCTGAAATGTCCTACGATTTCTGTACACAAATACCAACGCTTGAAGTTATTTGGTCCCGCTCGCTTAGAAAAATGTTTTGGATTCGAAGAAAATTGCGGCATCTCTTTCTGATTTACATTATGCTCTGTTTTTGACACCCTTCTGCTCTTGCTTAGACAGCTCACACGTCTCCGATATGGAAGCTGTGAGATGCCATCACGCGCCATATAGTGCCAGCGTTTTGGGAATATCTTAAGCTGAAGTATTACGGCAGCATCAGCCAAAGATAAGCTGCAATAGACACCAGTTTCGTCATTCTGCACTTGTTGTCTCCGATAAAGCGCTTTCTAGGAGCATCACTATCCTAATTCCGGGCAACTTGATTCGCTGACACTCATTGACTGCAATACGCTGAACATCGCCCGAGGTAGGTCTCTGAGTCCCCGATGTTGACGGTATGTCCACATGATGCCAGCACTAATGAGCATCGCAGGCGGCACATAATTACGGTGCGTCATTGTCAAAATAATGAGCCGACCGTGGCAGGAGCCACTGAATACGGCTCTGTGCCAGATGGATGGATGCATACAAATACCTTTACATCACATACTGCACATACTTTTATATTAATATCACATATCGCACATCATTCAGACATACTGACTTATGTCCCACCATGAGAGGACAGATACTTGCCTTCAAGGACCATCTGGAAGCAACCCTTTTCCCCCTTTTGTAAATAAGCTGTTGCCGAACGCCTTGGACACGCCCCGGCACCCACCTTGGCACGAGGTATTGTCCGTCACCCCGGCACTCACCTTGGCACGAGGCCTTGTCCGTCACCCCGGCACCCACCTTGGCACGAGGTATTGTCCATCACCCCGGCACCCACCTTGGCACGAGGCCTTGTCCGTCACCCCGGCACCCACCTTGGCACGAGGTATTGTCCATCACCCCGGCACCCACCTTGGCACGAGGGCTTGTCCATCACCCCGGCACCCACCTTGGCACGAGGTATTGTCCATCACCCCGGCACCCACCTTGGCACGAGGTATTGTCCATCACCCCGGCACCCACCTTGGCACGAGGCCTTGTCCATCACCCCGGTACCCACCTTTACACGAGGTTTTGTCTATCACCCCGGCACAAAGTCTTGCCGTTAATCGCCCTGGCACTAACCTTGACACGAGGTCTTGTCGTCCATTAGCTGCCAGCCCTCCTGGCAGATGCAGCGGGTCATTGTCACCCTGGTGTCGATGGCGGCGCACAGGTGTTCGCAGCCGCAGCCCTGGGGGCGGGGGGGGAGGCAGGTCAGCCGCTCAGCAGGTCTGCCGACGAGCAGGTCCAACCATCAGCGGCGCGTGAGGTCAGCACTCGCCCATGTCAGTGACGCCACTTCGTCCGTCTTGCCCGTAATGTTGTGAGCTATGGTAAAATCGGGCATATGTATATATATATATATATATATATATATATATATATAATGCCACAAATGCTGGCTTTTGGCTATAAAGCCATTCGTAATGCGACCCTAACCGATTCGTCATTGCGCACATTTCGCCTGGCCTACGAAACCAGCGTTCAACGCCACTAGGCATACAAGACATCTTGCACTTAAGAGAAGGTATAACATGAAGGAACGCACTGCATAATACACTGGAGTCTCTATGAGTGCTGAGATACCTATCCATCATAGGAGGAAAAACGTTTAATATCATCATTTGCTCGGGCACGGGCGCGCGCGCCCGCAGCGACGAGGATTGTACCAGCCAGGCAGGAGCAAATGACGCCGCCCACGTCGATGGCGGCGTCATTATCATAAGAATAGGCTGTGCCATCGTCTCCGCTGACACCGCCGGAAAATCAATGTCCGGCTAAGTGGAATAATAAAAAGCGCGAGCGGCGATATTGACGTCCCCTCCCCGCACACAAACACTGCCGGCCCCAGATCGACTCGGCTCTAGAGCGCGTGCACCGGCCACCTGCGGAGAACAGTCTCGCAGCGGGCTGCGGAGAACAGTCTCGCAGTGGGTTGCGGAGTAAAGCTGCAGAGAGTGGGGAGACGGCTGCAGTTCTCCTCTGTCTGTCTGCTCCATCTCTTCAGTCACACGGTCAGCATGTTCAGCCGGTTAAAGTCCAGCACAGGAGACAAACATAAAAGAGATTCGACCCATCAGCGTCTGTCGTCACCAGGGAAAAACAAATAAACCTAAAACCTAAGTTACAACTCATATCAGCAAGTGCAAAACAGGACGAGCCGGTGGTAAGGATCTTACCAATCGCTGATTTCTGGGTAAGCATTCCGACAACCGGAGACTGGCGAGACACATTTTGGCGAAGCGGGAAGAGGAGCCGAGAATAGACGCCTTATATTTACGTAAGTTATATCAAAACGCATGCAAATGAATCCGGTTACATTTGGCAGCCAGTACACATAGACTCGGAATAAACAGTGCATATCCAGCTTTCATGAGGTAGTCAGGCAGACGTGCAGTGTTGCATAACGTTCGTACGCGGATTTACAAATGTCGACTAAACAGCCACTGGCTTTGGGCATGGTAAGGCGTAGCCCAAGCTTAGGATTTTCTAGTTACTCTGGGTCCAAGTTCTGGCCATTTTGGTAGACAATGTCGATGGCTTTGCAATCGCTGATGATTTTGACTACAACTACCCAGCCATTGTACAAAAATGCGAGCTTTTGGAAAAAATGAACTATCTTACCACATGCGTAGCTTTCATAGCCCGATATGTCGATTCTGCCACAAGATTTTCGTTATTTCTCTCGGCAAACGCAGTGCTTTTATGTCTTTGTGGCGCAGGCTGTGGAGATAAGACCTCGTACCGGCAATTGTTCTCCAGTTTTTTTCTCTTCAATTTCGCTACTTTCCGCATTAATTGAACGGGGGGACGAAATCTTGCTGATGGTGCATCGCTGTAGAACTCTCCAGCCCGATCCCGCAATTGACAAGGAAACTCATCACTATAACTGCAGCACGGCTGTCAAGGAACTGCGCCACCGGGTCCTCAACAAATGGCAGCACGCTGGGGGGTTATACGGACATGAGCACCTCAAACCGGGAATGACGGAACGGGAAGCTCAAGCAGGACCGCCAGTTACTTGGCGTTAAGGCAGGAGCGACCACCGGCCTTCCTCAACGACACCTGTCGTGAGCTAAACCAAGGCCTGCAAGCAGGCTGAAATCCGCAAGAGGAAGTGCAGAGCCAGCGCTTCCTTGTGAATCTGAGCGAAGACCATGTCATGCCGCCTTAGATGGTGCCAGGTTTCTTTCAATTCATTATTTCATTTGGCCTTTTACAACCCTTCTCATAGTTTCATCGCTAGCCATATTTTCCCAGCACTATGTAGGACGGCTCTTACGCGTTTCTAGCCTAACCGAGAAACGGCAACATGCCTGACTTGCACAATCACACCGGCTCCCACCTGCGCTTATGCGGGACTCAACGTGTCGCGGAGCGCTGGAGCCATCGACGGGACGCGCCATACGTGCGCAGCGACGGGTCCCACGTCACGCGGCGCGGCTCGAGTGTCAGGGACAGGACGTCCTCTATCTACTCTGTCTGGAGGTCGCCGTGTGCCCTCCATCGGACCAAAGCAGCCACCGAGCTGACTGAGCCAGCTCAACTACCCACACTGCACGATTGGGTCCGAACTGAGTTCTTGGCTTTTGTTTGTCATGTTGCGGTGATGTAGGCTCGCCCACGTCCGCCCCCCCCCCCCATGTTTGTAACCACGTCTCTAAGATTGCCCCACCCCAAACATTGGGCGCACAAATCAGGATATGAGGGGTCAACCTGTAGTCTGCGGGATAAACTGATCTGACAATGCCATTTTGATAGAAAAATCTGAAAAATATGCATTCTTCCAGCAAGGTGGAATGAACAAGACCCTGCTTTGCGAGAAATTCGAGGAACTCGTCCCCCAGCCTCTCCTACGCAGTGACTGCGCTCAAGTGAATGAGTAACATAAAAAAGAAGGAAAGAGAATAGACACTTCACACGACGCGCGCAAATTAATGAACGCATCAAAGAAGTTACCTAACACAACAGGTGCGAACACGCACCACGCATCAGAGAAGAATCAAAGGGAATGCTTCGCATTTGAAGATATCGAAGCACGCATCAGATATGACGAAACAAGTTCAATGTTAACTGTTGTTATTCTTTTAGGCAATACGGACTGCTCTAGAGGACACAATTTCCCTGTTAAGTAAATACGCACCTCGCTACGTCATTGTTTTATTACGTCATCGCACCTTGCACAGCAATGATTGAAAGCCAGCTGGCGGCAGATATATCTGGAAATCGTGCCCACGAACACCGGATATGAACGACTCGAGCATTATATTCTTTCGGTCTTGATCGTCGAATGACTCATGAAATGGCAGGATTTAAATAGCGTTATGACGTCATGAATGCCAATATGACCTTGAAACGCCCTCCACGAAACAGTTTCACAATTTTTGCGGGCGTGTAACTCGGAAACTGGAAGGGTTTGGATCTTAAGAAGGGCAGCACTGTGAGCTGCACCAAAAGATCTTCGAGATGGCCATTTCAGTTGAAAACCTCAAATAAACGTGAACCACTCATTTGAGGTGGATCCTGATCATGCCAACATATGCTTTATACCTAGCCAATACGGGTGTTTTCACGGCAGAACTCACACCGCTTGACAACTCACACCGCTTGACCTGAAACCGTGACGCAAGAAAACCGCTAGACAAAACTTCCACGCGAGGCTACTTTCGCTGACGCACCATCGAAACGTCCATGCGTCAGCATTCACACCAAAAAACTTACAGAGTGTGACACGACAATCGCACAGCACGTTCACACGCAATGTTCCTGCTCCATGCCAAATTTGTTAAAGACAGAATTTTCACATGGCGTCACTTCCGGTGACAAAACAGCTACTGTCAAAAGCTTTATTTAGAGCGTCAAAACAAAACCAAACTACAAATAATATTGCCTGCAAACATTTCGTCTATAAGGGTTTTGCCACGCGGGACACCTCAGATTCGTGTGGGCATTTCTTCACTAAATCCGGTCTTGAACTTAAATATAAGGCGATCATAAGAAAAGTCGCAAAAAAGTGAAAACAAACAGGAGGAAATACGGTCCTCAAATATAAATTCTGATGCATTTTCCACAAAATATTGTACGGACAGTTTCACGGAAAACACAATGCATTTCAGTCTCGCTGTATTTTCATGCCTTTCATGTCTTGCTGTGCCCCATCGCCCAAGATATGGGAGCCGGACGACAGCAGACGCCGCGTGAACAGCATGTGTCGGCATCTTTCCGCACAGGGTTTGCTCGCGGGAGACATGTCCTCTAGAGCAGATAGCGCAGCAGTTGGTCGACATCTGTTTTTTTTTTTTTGCTAGCAGGCGTGGCGTAAAGACATCCACATAACGCGTGGTTTTCAACGCGCTAGCTAAGTAGTACAAAAGAAAAAAGGCTACTATCAAACAGATATAACACGTGTCAGGGGTTCCAATATGTCTTAGAAAATTTACGGTACAACTGATTGTGATTTTTGCAACCGTTCATTGACATGGCACACATAACCATGCATAACATATGACTGACGACGGACCGACGAGGCCCGGTAACTAACATTAATTTTGAAATCTATAATTGCTGCGCGAACGGCACCGCACTCGCGTGCACGACACAAAAGCCATCCACGACGGCTTCAAATGCAATGATCGCGATAATGCGAAACGCTCGTGTTTGTTGAACCGACGGGAGAGGGGCGGTATCACCCCGCTCGCCCCCCAGGTTCCTGACACTGCACTGCACCGAACAGCTGCACCAATATTTGCCTCCCCAGCCGCGTCCAACTCTGTCACCAAAAGACTGCGCGCAAAAATGAGAGGCTTTGTCAGGCCCACGGCCCTTTGCCACCTGTTTGCCAAGGGAAACATTCGCGACGCGGCCAGCGCCGGACGATATTGTCCTGTGCGCAGGTCATCAAACCTGCTGCCATCTCCTAGCCGAAAATACGCCACAGCAGATACTGTCGATGGCACGGGGACCAAGCAACCCCAAAGCCTCCGGCGGCGAAGAGCTGTGTGGCGTTGGGGCTCGTACACAGCCGGGCTATGTGGGTCTCTGTAGATGGCACATGTGGGGCTACCTGGCGTCCACGAGGTGCAAAAAGGCCTCATAGACGGAGGCTGAGCAGACAGAGACAAAAACGAAAACCAATAGCGTGGAGCAGGTGAATGCATCGTCTACACGCCGTGCAGTGAGCACAGCCCAACCGACAGTGAAACTGATCTTTGATCGGGGGGGGGGGGGGAGGCGATCATCCAAGCCCCGCTACTATCACCTTTTTCTTCTTTTCGCCTGCGCCAACGGACCTAAGGTCATGTTCGGCGCTGAATAACTTTATGCCTGGCTGACTGCCTGGTGGAAAGCTACGTTAAGCCAACTTTTGCTGTCCGACGCAGAGCACGGTAGAGCGATGACCTACGGCAGGCTAAACCGGCTAATGTCCGGCATCGAGCAAGAACAACGCTTGCGGAGCCACGCTCATGTTTGTCCTCTTTTCCCCGGCGGCCTCACGTCAGAGCCGGAGCGGGGATTTCACGTCCGGCCGAAGGTCAGGCAAGAAGCTAAGTTAAGCTGGCTTATGTGATTCGGCGCGAGGCAAGAGACAAAGTAAGCTACGCCACGTTAACCGGCTGATTCTGTCCGGATTCAGCGGTAATTGAACGAAAACACGGCGAGTTCACATATTCGTACATTCCACACCAACAGGTGCATACAAACGCAATACAGAGCAGTCCAGTGCGGGTACCCCGACCGCTTCGTTGCCGCCATCGGTTCGCTCTTGGCTCAGCCGGTGGATCAAGCGGACATTATTGGCGCAACAGGAGGTCCCCCGGCTCTGCGCCCTGTCTGCGACCCCAAGGAGCCGGCTCAGCTGCCCGGCGCGGCCTTGCCATTTGATGTGTTATGTTAATAGGGGATAATCCTGGCTAAAAATCGGATTACTTGGCTAATGGGAAAAGTCAACAAGTTTTTGCCGGATCGTGTATGCAAAACCTCTGCCAAGGTGGAAATCCTGCACGTTTGCAGTTGCGCAGGGAAAACTTCGTAACACTAATACGCAATGATCTTAGTTTGTGTTGTGTAGGAATTCGACGGGCAGGTCCAAATGTGCGGACGGGAGTCGCTTGGAATGGCTGTGATTATCAATGGGAGTCCATGTGTGTTTGTTTAGCGCATGAGTGGTTGTCGCGCGCGTCGGTGTGTGGGGCATGCGAGAAAACAGTGTTCGACGGTGCATGGAGTGTGCCAGGAATGATATGGAGGAGGCAGCGTCCCGTCGAAAACATAAAGACGTGCTAGTTTGGTGCTGTCTGTCTGAACCCCTATAAGCAGGACCTCCTCCAGGCGCCTGTTTTGCTGCGTGCTGTTCCAGTGCTCGAGTCGTGGTTTGATACTGCACATGGATGGTGCGTGCTGATCCCATTCATGCTGAAGAAATAGCGTATAACTTGAGGTCAGTACGGTTAGAAAATCGGAACGTGGGCAGGCAAGCTCACTATGAGTGGGCAAAAACAGTGATCGCTTTGCGGCCGCGTCTACTCAATCTGTCCACTGAGTACCAGTATGGCCTGGTATCCAGAGGAAGATGACGATGCCGGATGACGCCTCGGGCCCCGTGTGCGGCCTCCTAATGCGCACGCGTGGCGCACGCGGCGCTGCTTGCATCTATGCGCAAAGCACGAGCCGCCGAGAAATAATTCGGTTTGGAGTGTTGTCATGTTCAGGCAGCATGGGTCCTGCGCTGCCTTATCATCATGTGCAGTGCACGCGACGCTCGCGCAAAATCCGACCCCGCCCCACGCCCCCTTTTGGAGGTTGCGCGCGACGCGCGCGCAGCACTGACTGTTCCGTCCGATTTATACGGGCCTGGCCCCTTACGTATGCCAGGTTTGGTTGTGATCTTGATATCAAAAGTTAGTCCTTCAATGCACATTCAGTACGTCAAATAAAACGGAAAAAGCTCGGTCTGAGTCATCCGATTTGGTTTCTCCGGTTCTCGTCATCGAGGTTCTCGTCATCGTGGGGAGAGGAGTAGGAGGGACTGGCTGCGACAGAGCGCCGAGCGAGATCTTCGAGGCTAGCGTAAGACAGCCGTGCATTCCCGCCAGCTTTTTTGGCGAGTGCGGCACCCGGAAAGGACATTTGATAACTGCGTGTGAAATCAGTGAGACCGCATAGTTATGAAAACTTCGGCAAACATGCAGCAACAATGTTCACGCGTCCGTGCAGTGTATTGAGCTGGCGGTCGCTCTGCGACCAGTTGTCTCCCAGGTCCGTGCAGTGTGTTGAGCCATCAATGACATTGAGACCAGGACCAGCACCTGTGCTGAACCTAACTCGGGCCACGGACGTCTGCCAAACATATGAGGATGTTCGGAGCGCGTATCGAACACAGGACAGTAACGGACCGCTGACACGGCCGCCCAGCCGACCCGAGAACGGGTTGCCGGCTCACCTTGAAGGCGGGGATGACGTGCACCTGTCCGGGGCCGATGTGGCTGGCCGGCCGCACCACCCGGTGCTGTCCAGTGGTGAAGCTCATCCCGCCGCGGCCGTTCTGGTTCGCCCCGTCCAGAGCGTCGCCCCCTGCGGCGGCGCGGGGCACGGTGAGGCGCGCGGAGAAGCAGCGCCACTGGCGCGGATGTACGAGATGTCAACTGTGAGGACTCGGAGCGGAGTGCCTGACGAGACACTCTGAGGGTACTGAGGTACAGTACCCCGGAGTATGTCCACCCAAGTGACGGAAAACAAGCCAGCTATCTAAACGCTACACTTCGCGGCACAGAGACCATGCTTAATCGTCCCGAGGAAGACGTCAACTTCGGTCATGGACACCAGCTGGGGTTTGACGACGACGGCTGGTGTAGGTAACACCACAACACAGCGCAGGTGGCATCCGCCGCGCCAACACCGGGGCACCAGCCCGACAGCGAGCCACGAGGACGCGTGGTACACACCCACACACCCACACACACAACAGGCCAGCCCACACTAGGTGCCGCCTGCCTTATGGCCGGCTCGGGGCTTGGGCACTGTCGGAAAGCCACCCGGTCCCAACCAACATGCCGTTTGGACGGGCACACCGATGCAAGGCATCGGCATACGAAGCCACGTCTGTTTCCAACTCCCGCGGTGCTTAATAGCGCATCATAACTGCGTGTTGAATGGCGCATCGAATGCATCACTAGTGCTTTCGAGAAATTGTGTAGTGTTGCGTTGCCGTGATGGCTTCCGCGTTTACCCAAGGCAGCGAGTCGCCTCTGAATCCCGCTGAGTGTAAGCAATATAAACAAGCGAGAAAGAGCGCAGACTTCGAGACAAAGCACTGGCATGACGCCGATCCCGCACCAACAAAAACCCGGACGCACTGTATGATGGTTATGTGGACTGCGCAATTAAGACTTACTTTAAAAATATCCACACACTGCCGTGCGTGAAAAGATCCGGCTTCTCACAGACAAGACATGCAAAACCTAAGCATTTATAATCTAGCCCACATACGAGTTGTTCTTCAGCTCACCACAGAATAAAAAAACAAAATTGGCAGTGTGGAGGGCATTCGGCTGACGCATACACATGCCACCACCTGTTAGCTTCAGGGACATGTTGAATGGCCCCAGTTAGATGTACTCGTGCGGAATGGCTGGGCATCAAAGCCAAGCGAGACATATTTTTAAATAGTAGGGTTCAGGGGAAGTCTATATACCATGCTCAAATTAAAGAATCTTTCGCCATCTTGGCTCAGGTGCCTGCAGCATCCTGTTACTTACTATCCGCGAGGAAAGCGTATTCAACACAACAGAGGCTGGAAAGTTTCCCTGCGGACCACAGCTGCCCTCACAGCCGCTCCAAGGCAATGCTATATAACTGAGAGTTATTCATCTCTTTATGAACACTGGGCCAGACTAGAGAAAAAGTGCAATCATTGCTTTTCTGTCTCCACCTCTTTGCGACATCAGCAGGGGAAATCTAGAGCAGATCGGATCTAGCGCAGACCGAATCTAGACCAGACCGGATATATACCAGACCGGATCTAGACCAGACTGGAGCTGGCGCAGCCGGATCTAGACCAGACCGACGCTGACGCAGCCGGATCTAGAGCAGGCCAGATCTAGAACAGACCGGATCTAGAGCAGGCCGAAGCACGTCAGTGCCATGGAGCTATGAACTCTGAGCGCTGTCCAGAGGACACTGTTTGCCCCGGATGCTGTCCACAGGGTGTTATCTTCACAATATATCCTAATCTGGTGACCCCGCCCAGCCTGACAGAGGCACCAGTCCACGCCGGTTACAATGAAGCCCTTATGGGCACACACACACACACACACACACACACACACACACACACACACACACACACACACACCACACACACACACACACACAACACACACACACAACACACACACACACACCCACACAACACACACACACCACCACGCCACACGCACGCCCACGCACGCACGCACGCACGCACCGCACGGGACGCACGGAACGCACGCACGGAACGCACGCACCGCACGCACGCACGCACGCACGCACGCAAGCGGCACAGCACACACACACACACGGTACAGTATTGCCGGACGCGGGTGCTGACGACCTTTTGCGCAACCACGGACTAACCGGGCATATCCGCCGCGCCGCCTCCGCCCGGGCCCGTTATGTCAAGCCCGCCGGCCGCCGCGCCGAAGCCGCCGAACGTGCCCAGTCTGGTGGGCGTTGCGGCAGGGCGGGCCGCCGTATGGCGCCCAGCACCAGAGGCACGGGCCAGCCGGCCGCCGTCGGCTCCGAGTCGTTCCACACCGCCGCCCGGCCTGCCGAAAACCAGGTACGGGTCAGGGGAGGGAGGGGGCGGGGGTCAGGCCGCTGAAGGCGGCGGCCAGACCGGTCGGGCAGCAGAGCCGGCCTGGGGCATGGCGGGTTCGTGGGGATGGAAGGGGTTTTTACACTTGCTCGATTCAAGAGCAATGCAAAGATGCGCGCGATGAACGCCGCGTCAGCTGCGGGTCAGTATTTACGCGGCGCTCTTGCCTAGCGGGGTTCTAATTCCGCGCCGTTGTAATAATCTGCTGCAAATGTCAGCCGAAGCACCGGCTACACTTTGGTATGCGCTGCGGGCGACGGTTAGAAATAGAACTCCCAACAAGCTGTCGCAGGGAATTCCAACTGCCGGCCTCGCCCCAGCGCCGCCGGCGGCCGGCGGCCGCCCTCGTGCCTCAGTCGGACGGTATCGTAAATGGACGAGCTCCGGCCGCCCGCTATCATACCGTTGGCTCTGAGAGCCTATCCATCTGGCAACCGCGCTTAATTATGCATCAGTGCACGCTGCTCTGAACGACTCCATTCATCAGTGCACGCCGCTCTGATCGACTCCATTCACACTGCTCCTGGCACTATTGATGGCCGCGACTCGATGGCGACCGGGAGCTGGAGCGGCCGGGATGGCGAGGACGAGCTGGCCCGGCAGCGGGCGCGGAGTTGGCAGGTGGCAGAGGCAGAGGAGGAGGGCACGGGTAGAGGGCCGAGGCATAGGAAACAAGCCGGGGCGGAGAACACGGACAGAGGCCAGAGGCAGAGACTGGAGGCCGGCAGAGGACAGAGGCAGAGGAAATGGACAGAGAGTGGAGGGCAGAGGCAGAGGACACGGACAGAGGGCAGAGGGGAGAAGAGGAAGGCACGGGCAGCGGGCGGAGACACAGGAGACGTGCAGATGGCGTAGGAAGAGGACATGGGCAGAGCGCACTGTCGCCAAAGAAGCTGGCGGCAGCGGGAGACGCCCCAAGTCCCGCTGAGTGTCAGGGCGGAGGCTGGGCGTCCACCGGCTCAGGTCGTCCCTCGGCACATCGGGGCCCTTCGTCAGAGCGCGGAGAGAGCTGAATGGCTCCGCTGGGGACCACCGATCAGCACCGTACCTCGGCGGCCGGCGGCCAGCGACGGACGCCTGGGTCTACAGACCCTGCCGCCGCCCGCCACTCACTGGTCATGGGCACTGACCGCCTGTCGTCCACAACTCTGCCCGCCAGCACCAGCCGTCCAGGTCCCATCAACGAGCCTTGACACGTCGCACCGGTTCGGGGAGCCGGCAGCGAGCGCGTGCGCCGCCGCACCCCTCCCCAGCCCGCGTGGTGCCGGCGCGCCGGCCGCGGCCACTGACCGGCTCCGTAAGGCTCTGAGGCGCGCCCGTTGCCGTGGCCGACGGTGTGGTTCTCGCCGCGGCCGTGCGGCGACGCTAAGTCGTTTTTGTTGTTGGAGAGGCCACCGCCGCCAGCCGCCACCACCAGCGGCACCTGCAGCTGGTCCTTCACCTGACAAGAAAGGCCGAGGTCAGGTCAGAAACGGTACCCGTTAGGTGGTGTATACGAGAAGGCCGGGTGCACCACACGGGAAAGCTGCTGCTGGTTTTTCACCTGGGGCGGGGGGGGGGGGGGAGGGACGGGCGAAGTGTTTCAGCGCAGCGGGTGAGCAGGTCAGGCCCGTCCACAAGTGTTGAAGTCAATGTTGGCCGGTTGAGTTTGACGAAAGGGTTGAGACGACACATTCGTATCACGAATAGCTCCATTGTGCACACTCGTCTTCGTCTGATGTGATAGTGTGTACATCATCCCGAACCAGACGAGCCGATCGTACGAACACTTTTGTGGCCAAACTTGCGACCCAAAACACCTCACCGTAATGCACTGCTTCGCACCGTTGTCGTTACGTGGAGAGCGCCATCTGCTGGGCAGGATTTGAACTGCACGCTTACACAAATAGATCAGACGAGCTCATTTCGAAATATAAGGCCAGGCTCCTTAAGAAGGCCCTCAAGCTCAAATTTCCATCAGGAAACAGCGACTTTTCCGGAGTTTTTCATCGTGCTCACTCCCCATGAATGAGTAAATGGCAAACGGCATTTGCTCTGACCTTTTCACCTGTTTGAAATGTTTCCTCAGTCGACAACTTTGCTTTTCAACAGATGTGATACACTCTTTTGGAGCTCAATGCATTTAAATAAAAACACATTTTATTTTCATTACAATACAATGTAATGTCAAATGATCAAGGCTTCGGCAAATGACGTAATTCCCAATTTCGTCGACAGCGTCGACGCCCGGCAATATAGCGTAAGCCACCTTGCTCAGTGTTTTCAAACATCCATTCCGTAGCTGGTGACCAGCCAGCGCGTTGGAAGCGGCGCCAGTGCTGGATATGGTGGGGAGCTGATCACACCTACAACCGGATTCTTTAGGAATGAAGTTCTCCCAAAATGGATTATTTGTTGCATGCTTTGGGTGACCAGGCTGCACGTCCAAGTGTCATAAGCGATGACAATTTTCCGCGCGCGTTCGCCGCAGAGCAGTGTATGACCAGTTCCAGCAGGCGGCGACCGCTCGTCAGCCCATAGAAATGGCTAGGCTTCCGAGTATGCTTTGAGCGATTACATTCATTATACTGCTCCTAGGAACATACAGAGCGCAGAGTGCATGCAGAGCATGACGGCCTAGGTTAGCTTCACTAATGTTATTGCAATTTGCGTTATCCGCAAACGTGTGAGAAATGACGCCAATATTTTGAAACCAGTTCGTCAGACCATGAACAAACCTATGCCTTTGCATTGAACAGTGCCACTAGGGGCTATATGTAATATCTACCAACAGCTCCTCTCAAACACCCAAATGTGTGACAGTCTGGTGCATGTCGTGACGTACCTGGTGTCGCGCAGCATTCACCTGCCTCTGCAAGCCACGACACATGTACCTACCGTCGCGCCGTGTCCGTGGTTGCGGGGAAATCGCACGCCGCTCAGCGTCGCAGCCAGCATACATCACGCCTCCGACGGCCGAGCCCACGCAATTACCGCCAGCGTGGCGGCAGCATGATTGTCGGCAGCACACGTCGCGACCAGCGCCGCCCCACCCGTCCCCGTGCGTCAGCAGCGCCGTCGCACACGTCCCCGTCCGTCATCAGCGCCACCCCACCCGTCCCCGTCCGTCAGCGGCGCCACCCCACCCGTCCCTGTACGTCAGTAGCACCATCCCACCCGTCCCCACCCGTCAGCAGCACCGTCCCACCCGTCCCCGTGCGTCAGCAGCACCGCCCCACCCGTCCCCGTGCGTCAGCAGCACCGCCCCACCCGTCCCCGTGCGTCAGCAGCGCCGCCGCAGCCGTCCCCGCCCGTCAGCAGCACCGCCCCACCCGTCCCCGCCCGTCAGCAGCACCGCCCCACCCGTCCCCGCCGCCGGCCGTCAGCGGCGCCGCCCCACCTGGAAGACGAACGTGCCGCCGCCGCCGCCACCGCCGCCACCCTCGAACTGGATCTTCCTGAGACGCTTGAGAAGCTCACTGCTCGTATCGCGGGACGCGCGGTGGCGGCGCGAGCGCCACAGCCCGGTGACCCTGTGCAGGCGCGAGAGCGAGGCGATGGTGCGCGGCACGCCATAGTCGCAGGACTCTCGCGTCGTGCCAGTGGCGTCCTGCCGGCCAGCAGAACGGACGTCAGCGGTGCAGCTTCATGACGTGCATGGGGGGGGGGAGGCAGGGGAAAGGCGAAATTTCTAGAAATGCATGTGCTTGTAACACATCTTGTATTTAAGCCTCCAAGATGCTTCGGAGATGGGATCGATAATTGCTCACACACACACACACACACACACACACACACACACACACACACACACACACACACACACACACACACACACACACACACACACACACACACACACACACACACACACACACACACGCACGCACGCACGAACGCACGCACGCACGCACGCACGCACGCACACACACACATACACACATGTATATATATGCACATGTATATATATATATATATATATATATATATATATATATATATATATACAATGATCGATAACTGGAGCCGGGGCACACACGCAGGAGGGAGTCATGGTCTCACATAGTGATCTCCAGCCGTGGTTAACGGCGCACCGGAAGACAGTCACACTTCCGAAGCAAACGTCGCCGGGTCGGTTGTCTCGAAGACATTGCTTGCCCGCACGTGTGCGAAATCAAATGGGCAAATGGCTGAGGGATGCGATAGACAAGTGCTGCTAAACGGAGGTGGGCGGGATACCCAACAGCATACACTTCCGTGCATATCTCCCCCAAATGTTACCGGTTTACGGGAGCATGTTGACTGCTTTCCGATACTACATTCAGCCTCACTGGGAGGATACTTTTTCTCTCCTTCACTTTCACCAATGACCCTTCCCCCTTCTTTCTCTGATTTTTTTTTTTAATAATCCAAGCCGGTCGCATTATTGGGTTATTTGACGGGTCAAAAGGTCAACGAAAAACATTAAAGGGCTTATGCTTCCCTTGATAATTATGCCTTGTCGTTAGACTCTTGTTATGTTATTCACGGGTGTCAATATGTATTCTTCTGGATGGGTCTCTGGTCTCCCCCAATATCCCGTTTACCCCCCTCCCCAACGGTGAGTTTGGCTCTACAGCTTTCTAGAGCCAAGGTACAAGCAGGGCAGTACAAATGAGAAGTCAAAATTATACCAATTTTAAGGCAGGTTTCTACTTATTGTTTCACAGGCAAAAGGACAAAGAAAATGAAAACTGCGATGCCACGTTCAGTGGAATGCAGCTGACTGAGGTAGTCAAACTGTAAAAGCTCCGCATTCGCATGGTGTTTACTTGATAACTTTTCGTGCTTTTTTTCTTGCATGATGCATGCTTTCACGCACACCACTTATATGTCTTATAGACTCTGATATCGTTTTGTGCTATTGCCTGAGTGTTTTGACAGATATTCAATGATGTTTAAACATTCACAGACTGCAGCAAGCTGCGTTTATTTGCTACGATGCGATGTGGCGTCTTATCGGAAATTGAAAACAAACCGGTCAGATGTTGGCACCTAGAAACGTGAACAAAGTTTTGGCCGACAACGTTCGAAAGGCCGCTTGAAATGTGTCAACCTCACGTGAATATTTGAGGATACATTTGCGAAAATTTGACGACCGACACTCGCCAACCAAACCGATATCGGCAGTCGTCCACCGATGGTTACCAAAACAGCATTAGCCGTGTCGAACATGCGTAACCCGAGCGCTGTGCTGCAGTCTGCAGCCCGCCTTAAGGCTACCAGCCGGAGGTTTCCGTGGCAGCTTTTAATGATAACGTACATCAACTTACGCTCTTCACTCCCGAAGCCGTACACGTCCAAAGACGTCCGAAGCCTAATAACATCGACCCTGAGTCCATCACCGAGACATGATTTCGACGATCGACGCCAAACAAAAAATAATAATGCCCAACGACATCTTCCGCCGAGGCAGGGCGAAGGAAACGTTTTGGAGCAGTGCTGCAGTTTCCTCCTCAATTTGTGTGCATCGAACTCCATTACGTAGAGAAAAAGGTGGCTTAAATCGGGAAAAATATTTTTAGTGTAGTTAAAACTAGGGCTTCCCACTCAGCCCCCTGGCTATTCTGCGAAACTACGCCCCTGCGGCCGAGGCTTCACAACCGTGACGCGTGACGGATTCGCAACCAGATTACTCCAGTGTCAGGTCTGGAATTCAAGGCTAATTTCCCAAGCAGGAACAAGGCCGAAACCACGATCTGCATCTGTCGGGACCCTTGAGACAATGAAGGGCCCCTGTATCGATCTGGGGACATCAATGCATAACAAGGGTCATGTGTGGCGAGGAGCCCAGAATCGGCCCGAGGCAGTGTTCGGGGGGGGGGGGGGGGGGGGCTCGCAGTAGGAGCTTTCGATCAAGTGCCTGATTGGAAGGTGCAAAGGGCTCGGTGCAGGTGACACCAAGGATTCCGTTCTGCAGGGCCGGGCCCTGGAATGCCAATTAGAGAGTCTCTCGAACCGGTTGTGAATACCCTGGGATGACGAGGGCTTCCCTTTTGGTCAGAGACCACCAACAACGAACGGCCTGCTCCATGCCGGTCTGAGCCCCGGGAGCCCATCTCCCAAGCAAGGACAAGGCTGGGATTCCAATTTGCATTGATCGGGACCCCTGAAACAATGAGGCCCCTGCGTCGGTCAGGGGCTCCCGGTGCCTAACAGAGGGTTCTGTGTCAGTAACGGGCTCCGACTCAGCCAGGGCAACATTTGCTTGCTGAACGGGGACAGAGACTGGATCCAGAATGCTGGAGGGCCTCTTGTGCTGGTCTGATACCTCTAGCAATGCAATTGGATATGATCATTTGTGATGAGATTCCACAATGAGACAATAAAAAGTTAGATCCGTGTTTCAGTCAGTGAAGGGCTTCATTGCAACTCTCCACCCCACTTCTGCCAAAGGCCCGTTATGCTGACCTGGAGTCTCTGTGCCAATTTTTGGACGCTTGCGTCGGTAAGAGATATGTTTTGCGGCAATGAGAGCCCCTGCGTCGATCTAGGCCCAAATTTTCGCGTCAAGGGGCTTACAAAGTCAGGCAGGCGACCAATGTACATGCAGTTTCGCCAGAAAGCTCTATACAGCCCAATGCATACAGCCCCAGTTTCGCCAGGAAGGCAGCCAGTAGGTCCCCGGACTGGGACGGAACGACTCTTGAGCAGCTGAACGGGAAACGTGAGATTCCCCTAGTGCTCTACTAACTGGGCCCCTTGCTCAGAAAAGGCAAGGGGATTTCCTTCGCGTTAAATAGGGCGGGTCAAAATTACGTAAGAAATACGAAAAAATATCAACACAAACGAGGACGGTCTATCCACGGATATCACCGAATGCTTTCGGAGCGCCTGAGTCCCCACAATGCTGACCTTAAGGCGATGGCAATCCACATTTGAAGACATTGAAACAAGCATCAGATGTGATTAATTCAGCTAACGTTCAAGCCTTTGCACGTTTTTTAGTGAAAAAGAACGTTTTCGGGAAAGGTTGAAAACCATTTTCTGAACTGGTACGTGGAGGAGTGCTTATGTTTGTTTTGCATTAACTGAACTTATCAATGACAATTTTAGAATGTCGAAAGGCTTCATATAAATAGGATGCAATGCCAGACATATTGTGGACACCAATCTTGTGAATACATAAATATATACACCAAACAACCACGAAAGCACAAAATGGCCAATTGTGTACATATTTCACTTCTCATTTTGCAAGAGAGGGGTGCAATTGCGCTCCTTCAGCTTCACAAAACAAGCACGCTTATACGAAGCTGATGCAAACAGCTAATCTTCCATACGTCATTGCACATGAGCTTACAAAAGTAGGCAATTAGTGTGATTTATATATCTATCCACTTATCTATCTATCTATCTATCTATCTATCTATCTATCTATCTATCTATCTATCTATCTATCTATCTATCTATCTATCTATCTATCTATCTATCTATCTATCTATCTATTATCTATATATATATATATATATATATATATATATCACCCTGCGTTTCATCCAACAATCTGTAGAGCTGTGTTGGCTGTGGCAGTGGGAAAGCAGCGTGGTGTTGTCCTTGGCCAGTTGTTAAGCCAGGGTTTCGCTCAGAAAATCCAAATCACTGAGGCACCCTTTCAGCGAAGTGGGCCCTCGCGTCGTCGTTGCAAGGGCTCTGTTTTGGAATTGGGTACCGCTTGAGGCAAGGGATCCCATTTTTATGCCTCGGGCCCGTGTTCTTACGTTCTAGAAGCCCTACGGGCTACTGCCAAAAGGTGCTAGGTCCTTCTGGGTCCCAGTTGAGCCCGCACAACCTCCGAGGGAGGTGGGCCTCCCCTTTTGAATACGCTGCCGTCCTTGTCATGACGGATCATATACCAACATACCAATAATAACGCGTCGGTGGGAACCGCCCATGGCATGTTAGCTCAGGTCATACAGGTGTTATACACAGTGGTTATATTCGGGCGACACAAATCAAATCACAGGAATGTACTCTCGGAACCGCACACGTGCCTGAACACTCCATGCCAATGAAAGCATTGCCTCTGTTTTTGGGTACCATGGCAGATAATTTCGGCTCAGTGCACGTGTTGCAGAGCACTGCATGTAGCAATATCACTTTCCGGTGAGTGCCTACCTAAGGACACTGCCTGGTCGGTAACGGTCCTTGAGTCAGACATGATTTGCTGCATCGCTTTCTCTCTTGAGCCTCCTGAGATCCTTATATTCCGCTTACTTCGAGGAGAATCACCCCGCCCCCACCCCCCCCCCCTCGGGGAACGCCTGTTGGAAACATCTGTTCCTGGAACAACAGGCGTTATCGGACGCCTGAACGTGACACGCGCCTGATATGACCTCGACGAAGAGGTCATCACTCGTGACCTTTACAGGGTGCAGTCTTTAAATGTTCCAGAAGGTGTACGGATGTTTAATGGCTGGCCCTGGCAGTGGCCATCAGCCGCCACCATCCGCGAGAATGCGGCCCCGCGTTCGCTACAACTATGTCCCAGACCGCGCCCGTCAGCACACATCACTGGCCTGCGCCCAGAGACAGCCACTGCGACGAGCCGAACACGCCTCCGAAGACAGCCAATAAGGTCATTAGCCCGCCTGACGGGACGTCCGATCCGTTGCCGGCTCAGCATGAGACTTCTCTATGCTATGTGACGGCCTGTCGCCCCTCCCAGATCTGCATCGCAGCCCGGAGAAGCTCGACTAAAGGCGTCGCCTCTGTGAGCCGCAGGCCGGGCAGAGCAGGCCCACATAGCGCAGGTGGGGAACGTTCGAAACGAACACAAGCTGAGCCGACGCCGGCTGGACGGGAGGAACCGGATCGGCTTCACCCGGCCGCTACCCATCGAGCTGGCCGCGGGCCGTGAGTCCCGGCGAAGGTGGGAGGGGTAAGACGTGGCCATTCCACGGCTGTTCAGCCTCACCGGGCTCAGGCATATCGGCCACACGTGCTTCATGAGCTCGGCGTCGCAATGTCTGAGGAGCATCCGCGCCCTGCCTGACGTCATGGTGCCTGACGTCATGGGTGTCCGACGGGCACTCGCAAGACATCAACACAACCACCTCCACCACGAGGGACACATTCATCGGAATGGTCGTCATGCCAATGTGCGACCTGTGGAAGAGGTCAGACGAGGCTTCCTGGACGACCCCATTGTCGACCCATTACAGTGGGTCACCAGGTTGCCTGGACGCCCTCGTACAGGGGTCACCAGGCTGCGTGGACGCCCCACTGCAGTGGGTCACCAGGCTGCCTAGGCGCCCCATTACAGTGGGTCATCAGGCTGCCTGGGCGCCCCATCACAGTGGGTCACCAGGCTGCCTGGGTGCCCTAGTACGGTGGGTCACCAGGCTGCCTGGACGCCCTGGTACGGTGGGTCACCAGACTGCCTGGACGCCCTAGTACGGTGGGTCACCAGGCTGCCCGGACACCCTAGTACGATGGGTCACTACACGTTCCACTGCAACACCCGCACAGTGGGAAGACTGGTGTGAGTATAATGACTCCAAAATCCGGCCCATTTCCATGCGCAGCATCAACAGCTGCGAGCCGTGCGTGCTGCTGTCACACCCGCTCAGTCACTGACCGGGCGTTGTCCGGAACCGGGACGACAGAACCCAATGGCTTTCGATACGGTGGTCCCACCTCTGGTCCCACCTCTGGTCCCACCTCTGGTCCCGCCAGCTGGCCGTCATGAGGGTCTCGGTGGAAGTGGAAGTGAGGATTGCGAATGCTCATTAACCTACGGGCGTAAGGTGATGAAATGGTGATGTATGAATATAACGTCTAACCTTAAGTAATCCTTCTTTCAGAATTATGCGTCTGTGGTACCGTAGTTATTAGGTAGTTGTTAGGTAGTAGACTGGTCTCGGGGCCTCAAACAACGTCACCAAAACATCCATCAAAAACTAAAAATGGGGTTTGGCAGATGGCTATGCTGCTATCGAAGTTGTTGAGTGCATTTGCGAGAAATATTTTGCATATAGATAAGACAGTAATAACATCCCTATTCCTCGTAGAACAACCAGGATTATAGCGAGGTGGATCTTTTCATTCTCCTGGTTATTCCATGATGGCTAAGGCTATTAGTGCTATCTAATCTATGTGCGGCTACCTTCGCTAACACAGTAAATCATTCCGAAGATTATGGGGATGGGAGGTGAGTGTTACTGGCCGGTCAGCCACAGATCGTCGTGGGCTTATGGGCCTCACTGTAAACACATCGCACCGTGTTATACGACACAGTGAAAGAAAACGCAAAGGCCGCAAGTGATGTTTGATAACGTCGTAGACGCCCAGACAAGAACGCACTGAAGCTGCCGGCATGCGATGATTACATCCCGCTTCAACAACGCTGACGTTCTGACTGGTAGGATAAATCCTTCACATCCGTCTAGTTTATGCCTTCCCCTCGCACAGTTTCCCGCCAGACGGTTTCTGCACGGACGCTCGAGTTCCAAGCCATTTAGACTCAGTTGGAGACTCCCGCACACAACACCAGGTCCGAGAAACCCGATACACCAAGCCACCCAGATTTAGATTGGAACGCCTCCGCACGTACTGCGGGTCGGAGACAAGCCTCGGAATAAGCTGCCAAGTAAAATGTAACCAGGACATCACAGCTGTAGTTTCTTAGACGTAATCCGATCCAGTGAAATAGTCTGCTCAGTTCAGCAACCGATCTGGCACGATCCTTCAGGAGAGCAACACTTCCAAACATAACGCACATAAATCCGTACCATTTCCGCTCTATTCGACCTAAAGTGTCGCATCTAGGCAAGTCCCCGGTTATAAAATTTACATGAAAGTCTTCAAACCATTCCAGTCCACTTGCATTCTGATCTGCCTTTGTGCAACTTTCTGGTCTAGTCCAATCCAAAGCGTAATCCTAATTGCATCGTCTCAGTCATACTAAGCTCTACGTAACATATTATTGTAATTTAATCACAGGCGTATTCCACCGGGCTGGGAACCTACCACCGTCTGCAGACTGTCTCAGTGTAATCGTCGGCTCGCCGAAGCTATGCCTAGAGCCAAGATTCCGCTCGGATATCATCCGCTCGGATGATTCCGCTCGGATTCCGCTCGGATAATTCCGCTCGGATATCATCCCAGCCGCACGTTGTAGCGCAATTTCGGCCAGTGGAATGCAATGTGCCATTGCCCCAAGGTTCCTCCAACAACGTGGGCATAAAATTACTGCCGCGCAGACCAGAACGCTGGTCGTATCCGATGAGCCCTCGAAATGCGACGCCGGCGTCCATAGTTTACTGTAGAGTGATTCACCGGTCCGGCTCAACCACGGCCCCGCCCCCGATATTGGCTTGGATGACATCGCTTCCAGAAATCCAGCTGAAGAGCTCGCCGGGGTTGGCAGGCGATCATGACGCTGTAACTCCACCAAGGAATTTGAGATTGACACTTCAACAAGCACACATATACACATATATGTATGTTTGTGCATATGTATGTCTGTAAGAACTAAAAGCTTGATGGCAGGGACAGCATTTGCTATCAATTATGTAATCGTTAACATTTCGATACAATGCGTATCATTATCAGGACAAGAGCAAAATGGTAAAAAATACGGTGAATGAATGAATGAATGAATGAAAGATAAGTGAATCTAGCCGACATCACTCAATGTGGTAACGGACACAGTTAACGTATTTAATCAAGACCTCTCTTTGCAAAAATAAGACAGCTTGAAAAACACAAGAATCACACGACAGAATGCCTTTTTGACGCCGTATGAAAATGGCTATGTAAGATAGACGTGTAAACGGAATGATTACGAAATGGGTTCCCGGGTTCCCGGGTCTCTTTCACACAACCTGTATTTGGGCTCCTACAATGTTGACCTTAAATCAGTGCAGAAACAACTATCGTATTGATTAAATACCAGTTTAAGGAACTTCATGTCACCACATCATCCCAACACAAACCAGCAGAAGCCTGCGAAGCATTCATATCCGCCGTAGCATCGTTAGGAAATTTCAATAAGCCAAAGGATAAGGTACTCTGCTCACATTCAAGAGCGGGACGTGAGCACGCTGGAACGAAATTGGGTGAATTTAAGCCAAAGTTGCCATCGTTTGAGCTGTAGACGTCGGCCAGCATCCTTGACCTAGCTCACGCTGTTGAGCATGAAGCTGGCAAACCTCACTTAAAGAATGAATGGTTGGTAAATCACATCATTAACGCTGTACCAACAGGCCGTTAAACAGCCAGCGCAGACCAATGCCACACGCAGGGTGTCCATTACCTTGTGGCAGGCGGTGGTGCCCTCCTGGCCCACGACCATGAATATCTCCTCGCCCTTGTTGAGGTGCACCACGGAGACGGCCGTGGAGGCCTTGCTGACCTGGCTGAAGGACTCGAAGCCCTTGCCGCCGCTGGCGCCGCTCGCCACCAGGCTGCACGGCACACGACACGGCACGATGTGAGGAGAGGCCACGGGCTCGGCCACCCACACACACAGTCCGCTCCGTCAGATCACCCCGGACATTCATACACAGTCCGCATCGTTAGATCACCTCGGCCGCTTACACACACACACACACAGTCCGCTCCGTCAGATCACCCCGGCCACCCACACACACACACAGTCCGCTCCGTCAAATCACCCCGACCACTCACACACACACAGTCCGCTCCGTCAGATCACCCCGGCCACCCACACACACAGTCCTCACCTTCAGATCACCCCGGCCACTCACACACAGTCCTCACCTTCAGATCACCCCGGCCACTCATACACACACAGTCCACTCCGTCAGATCACCCCGGCCACCCACACACACAGTCCGCTCCGTCAATCACCCCGACCACTCACACACACACACAGTCCGCTCCGTCAGATCACCCCGGCCACCCACACACACAGTCCACTCCGTCAGATCACCCCGGCCACCCACACACACAGTCCACTCCGTCAGATCACCCCGGCCACTCATACACACACAGTCCTCACCTTCAGATCACCCCGGCCACTCATACACACACAGTCCGCTCCGTCAAATGGCATTGGCCGCTCACAAACACACAGTCCGCTCCGTCAAATGGCATTGGCCGCTCACAAACACACAGTCCGCTCCGTCAGATCACCCCGGCCACTCATACACGCAGTCCACTCCGTTAGATCGCCCCGGCCACTCATACACACACAGTCCGCTCCGTCAGATGACCTCGGCCGCTCACACACACACCCAGTCTGTTCCGTCAGATGACCTCGGCCGCTCACACATACAACCCGCTCCGTTAGATGGCCACCAGATATGTAAATACCTGTGACATTCACAAATTTCACATTTCAAAAGCAAAATTACGGTGCAGTTCACATTCACGCGACTATGTTGGCGTATACCGTGGAATCTGAGCCTTTCGTGGATTGAATGTACAGGTAACGAATTCAGCATACAGTCCAGTCAATCAGTCTTGAATATAGTCTGTCAGGATTGAGGCTTTTTAGTTACCCCGATGCCTTGTATTCATTTAAATCTTTTATGTAAAGTATTTGCTGAAGCAAGCCATAGTGGTTAATCTAGGTCCTTATACTCATCAATGCAGTTTAATAAAATGATCAAACCCAGCACATACTGCCACGACATCAACCACCTCCTGTCCGATTAGTTTCGCCTCGCAAATATCTCAATCCAATTCAATTCTAATAAAAAAAAAACACTTTGAGAACTTCCCGCCGACCAAGTCCAGTCATCTAAATGCATTCCCCTTGCGTTGCCACCTGCCCAACCTCGTCTTTGCAGCGGCTTCTGGTCACCTTCCCGGTCCCCTGCTCCGAACTCCCCTGGACTCCCGCTCTCCTGACCCCCGGCCCGCCCTCCCCACCCTCCTCCGCCCGCCGTGCCCGTCCTCCGGTCCCTGCCGGCGGGCCGGCTGCCGTCCACTCACGAGTAGACGCCGGTTGCTGGCACGCGCCACCGCTGCACTCCCTTGTAGTGCCGGTAATCGAGCACCTGCACCTGGACACTGCTGTTCCGGTAGGCGAGATCGCAGGTGCGCTGCTGCGGCCCCAGATGACCCGTCGTCCGGCACGTGCCAAAGGTCAACACTGAAACACCGGCACCGAGGCTCGACGGCGCCCGGCACACAGGCCGGCCAAGCAGCCAGCGGCCAGTTATAGCTGCAGATTGCATGTTTTGGACCCCTCCACGATTGCGGATATTGTTCTTTTGTCAAGGGCGAACAGATGCGACGTTATTTTCTAAGCGGTAGTTAGCCAATGCTTTGCTGTAACTCACGTGCACGGGACTCACGTGAAAGGTGACTGTTGTAACGCCGTTTTGATCAAAACGTGCGACTGATTGCAAAACTTGCAGAAAAACCAACGTTGCAAAACTTGAGCCACATAGGAGTTTTTTTCCTGTATGTCCCGCATTGTGATCGCAGATACTTAGAGGCCCGCAAGTATTTATAATGACACACCAAGTATGAAGCAATTGCAAGTACAAGTACACCAAGATTTTATGCCAAACTAATCAGTGTATCTGTGAGCCGTTTGCATTCAAAAGAAGTAAATCTACAGAAGTCCTGCTTTTTGGTTGATTAGTTACGCAGACCTTGATGCATCTCCTCACGATTCATGCTATTTTTCTTGTGGTTACTTATTCTCCCCTCGCAATGTAATACCTCCGCGAGGTGTTGGCTTTAAGGCTGACGCTGTGCAAGTGCAGGAAATCATAGCGCCACTCAAAAATTACCCCTAAAAACAACACTGAAAAACATGCTAAAAAGCCCGAACCCTTCACATGACACATGACGTCATATATGCACTGCCTGCATGACGTCATACATGTACTGCCTGCATCAATGCAAATGTCGGCAGATACGGACCGGCGCATACGGCGCGCGCCGCTTACCGTTCGCGTTCGGCTCTGGGACGGACGGCTTCGAAATAACTGAAACGTTCCAGAAGCACTTGTCATCGACCGCCAGGGGCACAGCCCCTATTAACTCAAATCTGAGTGCGATGTCCAAAACAAACCAGCACATACCAACATTTTTTACACGGATATGCACCTGAGCACACTGATCACAGCAGCGCCGCTTCAGGTTGGGTCGCTGGTTCTGGTCTCAACCATGGCCTTCAGTATTGCGTCGCATTTCCAAACGCTCCGGCGAAATCTGTCGCTTTGCATTCCATCCATAGATGTCCATTCCCTCAATAAAAATCCTAGCCGAATCAGACTTTTAGTGGAGCGGAAGACCAATAAAAATACTTTTGATATAGACAATGTGGATTTTTGTTGAAAAAGTAGGGATACATTCGTTTGTCAGTTGCTTATGTGTAGGCATCACAGATACGCAACCAGTTGAGCGCTTGAATATCACTTCTTCAAATTTAACGTCACGGTAGAAATGCTGGTTTTTTAGAAATAGGAACGCTTCCTCCCATCCCCGCACAATGGGTTCAGCACACCTTTTCTTTCTGTCACGCGTAAAAACGTTCCACGAAACAGAAGCGGTGTGTCACGAGGGAAGAGGAAGTAGCACCCTGCACCCCGAAGAAAGTTCAGCATTAACCCTATATTAATCGCAACTATAAAATTTCTCCTGAATTTATCTTATGCTCAGTTCTTATTTGGCGTTGCAATAAAGGGAACGACACGCGCCAATTTTGCCGCTGCCTTAATTTTAAAGAGGTTCCACCTCCGCCGGAAAACAATAATGCGAAACGACAAAAAGGCAGAAGTGTGTGGCATTCCTTTCACAAAAAACATACCCAATGCTACGCAGATGTTATCAAGAAGCATCTTAACATCAGCCACAGACTTCACACCCAACAAACAGCAGAGTTTGCTTGCAGCGCTAGGCAAACGCACGATTTTGCCTATTCAACGTTCCAATAGGAACGAAGACAAAACACCTGGCGTTGCCTGTGGCTGCCTGGGAATACAATATCACGCCAGTTAGAACCACAGAACAAGCTCGTAAATCGCAACATTTTTTTCCTGGGCATGGAGCATCACGTTGCCCGTGTCCGTTTCTCACGATCCGTCCCAAGCTACTTCCCCCCCCCCCCCCTAAACCGAGCCGAGGCGGCGACTGCAAGGGCCCACGATGGAGCAGCAGGTGCGTCAATGACCCTGAATACAAGCTGAATAACTTAACACGCCTCAGCGCACTGCCAGTTTTCGTGCTCAGCGAGAGGCTCATCAGCACATGGAATGGTCATGTGAAGTACTCGTAAGCACGTGCATTCGCGTGCTTAAACACTCAATTCTCAGCGCTTTATTGCTGCAAATAACTCAACACAGTAGCTTGCTTTCTGCTTCCTTGACACATTATACATTGTTTTCTGGGCATGAACATATGTTTCATTGCGCCTTTTTGAAAAGGGACATGAAATAATTCACTTTCACCGAACACTGGCTTGATAAGCGACACAAGATGACGAAACACCGTCCATCCGTAGCCTTGCTCGGTAAGGAAAATATTCAGCAGCTTGGAAAACGCTACGAAGTATATACATGAGCCTCAAGCTATTTAAGCCCGCTCATGCCGTGTCGAAGTGGACTCCACGCGTTCGTATGTGGGCACCACATCCACGAGCCTCTAACAAGACCCAGCCTGTCCCGGCGGCAGCACGCAGCGGAGCGAGTAGGGTTTGCCGCTGCGGCGCGTGCCCCACCGTGGCTGCGCCGTGTCCCCCCCCCCCCCCCGCCGCCGCTGCGCCGTGTCCCCCCCCCCCCGCCGCCGCTGCGCCGCGTCCCCGCGCGCCGCCGCCGCTGCACCGCGGCCCCGCCGCCGCTGCGCCGTGTCCCCCGCCACCGCTGCGCGCGTACCCCGCCGCTGCTGCGCCGTGTCCCCCGCCGCCGCTGCACCCTGTCCCCCCGTCGCCGCCGCACGTGTCCCCCGTCCGCCGCTGCGCCGTGTCCCCCGCCGCCGCTACGCCGCGTGCCCCGCCGCTGCTGCGCCGCGTGCCCAGCCGCTGCTGCGCCGTGTCCCCCGCCACCGCTGCGCCGTGTCCCCCGCCGCCGCTACGCCGCGTGCCCCGCCGCTGCTGCGCCGTGTCCCCCGCCGCCGCTGCGATGCCTGCCCCGCCGCTGCTGTGCCGTGCCCCCGCCGCCGCTGCGCCGTGTCCACCGCCCCGCTACGCCCGTGCCCCGCCGCTGCTGCGCCGTGTCCCCCGCCGCCGCTGCGATGCCGCCCCGCCGCTGCTGCGCCGTGTCCCCCGCCGCCGCTGCGCCGTGTCCCCCGCCGCCGCTACGCCGCGTGCCCCGTCGCCGCCGCACCGTGTCCCCCGTCGCCGCTGCGCCGTGTCCCCCGCCGCCGCTACGCGTGCCGCGTGCCCCGCCGCCGCTACGCCGCGTGCCCCGCCGCTGCTGCGCCGTGTCCCCCGCCGCCGCTGCACCCTGTCCCCCGTCGCCGCTGCGCCGTGTCCCCCGCCGCCGCTACGCCGTGTCCCCCGTCGCCGCTGCGCCGTGTCCCCCGCCGCCGCTACGCCGTGTCCCCCGCCGCCGCTACGCCGCGTGCCCCGCCGCCGCTGCGATGCCTGCCCCGCCGCCACTGCACCGTGTCCGCCGCCGCCGCCGGGCCGTCACCATGCATTAGCGGCATCCGCTTGGAAGCGCTTCACGTCTGACGGAAATTTCCGCAACGAGATAACAGACTGCTTCCGCAGGCGCCGCCGGCAGCTCTGCTGACCTGACGCAAGAGGGCCACGCCGCGCCGGGGGCAGGCGGGCGGAGGGGACGCCGGGGAGGGGAGACCGACCGGGTCACGCACGCTAGGTGGGCGGGGCAGTGCGCTGGCTGGCGCGGAAGAGGGATCTCAGCACCGCGGCTAGAGCGTGCATGTCTACATTCGCCACTTTGTAAACGTTGGTAAATGGGCATGTTGAAGTGCTTCAACGTTTGGATACTTCCGCTTCAACATTTACCGAGACTCTTCCTTGTCAGATATTTCATAGCAACAGTTTAAGAACTAGGTTGGCGTACTAGCTTGGTTGGTGGCCCGTAATCAGATGATCTGTCCACTGACGGCTGACGACTGACGGTGATCACGACAAATCTGCATACGGCCATGCTTTTACCCCCGCGTGCTGCTCCCCACAGTCCCAAGCGACCCGGCGTACATTGCCCCGGGGCTCACCCACGGCTTCTGCCCCGGCGGCCATAGCTCAGCCCGGCTGTCAGCCTCGGTGCCGAATCATGACAAACGTCGGCCTAATCGGGCCGGACAGCGGCGGCAGAACGACGCGATCTGGACGACGGTGCTGGCCAATGGGCGACGGGGGCGGGCCGGCCGGGAGGTAGCCAGCGGCCCCCGTAGCCGGCGCCGCGAGAACACGAGATCAGGGCGGGGTGGGCCGACTGGGAGCTAGGCCGCGGCCCCCGTAACCGTGGTAAGGCTGCGGCCCCCGGCACCGCGAGGACACAAGATCAGGTCAGGGGCTGGCCCGCTGGGGGGTAGAGCGTGGCCCCGTAGCCGAGGTAAGGCCGCGGCCCCCGGCACCGCGAGGACACAAGATCAGGTCAGGGGCTGGCCCGCTGGGGGGTAGAGCGTGGCCCCCGTAACCTAGATAAGGCCGCGGCCCCCGACGCCGCGAGGACGCGAGATCAGGGCTGCGTTGGCCGCCAGAGGTGGGCGACGACACGCGCTGTAGCCGAGTGGCAGCTGGGCCCGGAGAGCGGACGCCTAAGCAGGAGCGGTGTGAATGCTGTTGGGTGAGAAAGGGATGATGGAACTGGGAGAAAACATGGCGTTCCGCGTGTGAATTTTGGTCATGCTCACAGTCGCACAAATTTGTCCGCTTGGAGACATGCATGAACGTTTGGCAACCGAGCGGCCAACACAACAGGAGGAAAGACTTTTTTATTTCACTTAATTGTTATATTTAATCAGTTATTATTTATATATATGCATATATATATATATATATATATATATATATATCATTTATATTATAAATGTATAAATAAGTATTATATATACATATTTTATATATATTTTAATACAATTTAATTTAATAACTTATATTTCATCTTTTATTAATTTAATTAATTAACTGAACAATGAAAATTGCGCACGATCGTAAAGAACAAGGAATACGTCTCCCAATATGGCGGAGCCTCCCACACGCCGCGTGCCTTAGCGATGGGACACGATGTACCACTGGCAGCGGCCTGCTGACGCTGATGGACATTCAACAATTTACATCAGGCGTTCCCAACCTCGGTGGGGGGAATACTCACACGCCCCCTCACGTAATAATAACGGAATAATACGAGTGTCTCAGAGAAGATTGCCATGCAACCAAATTATGACTGGGTCCGGAGGAATTACCGTACAGCTAGCGTAACAGATCGGCGCTAATACCTTTTCCACATGCTCTGAGCCGGATCTTTGTTGTCTGTTACAATGGTCGAAAAGTAGGGTAGTGTTTCCGCTGACATTGTGTCTAGGCATTGTGTGTGTCCACGCTCGAGCGAGATACTGAGAATCCAATTATATGCTTTGATTTGCGTCGCTAAGATATAGTCAAATACAAACTCCAGTCATCGGCAGGGGAGTGGACCTAAAAAGGTTGGCAAACACTTTTTTACATCAAGCGGGGTACGATGTCAATTAGCGTTTCACTTGACATTTCCTACAAAAACAGCACAGCGGCACCTACCCCAAGTTTCCGGTCGCTTGAGGTCGACGTTGTAGCCTTGCCGGAACTCCTCCGGCACACCTGCCAGACGGATGACGTCAGACGCTGCCGTTGAGACAGCCTGTCCACGCCGCGCCTCAGAATTTTACCCGTGCACACTGGCTTGTCTACTGGATGGCAGTCCCTCACGTCAACAACACTTAACTGTTGTACGTTAAAACATTCTGTTAAGAGACACAAGGTAGAAACCGGCTTTCACCCCCCCCCCCCCCCTGATTCTTCAGAGGATCATCTGACTTTACCTCCGGTACAATTCTGGTTTCGTCACACTCTTTCATAAGGCCGCCCCAACGCATGGTTGGCATCTCCGTCACTAGAGCTCGAGCCGCAAGCATCAAGTCAGCGAGGCAGAGAGAACCCAGTGCCGGAATCCACAGAAACCCACCGAGGCCGAAACACTCGAGACTGAGCGAAATGTCGTCGATGCCAATCGTTCCCTGGTTTCCGAAGCTCCTTACGCCGTGGAATTCTAGTTGGTAGCTGAGGACGGCATGATGGAGTACATTAGCGTCACGATATTCCTGCGTTGTGATAGTGGAAGCGATTCATCGTCGTCACGAGGCAAACACGGTACCCTTTGACAGAGCTCAGTGTAAGCCGGCCATAACCGAGATCAACATGACAAACGTCGAGGCGTTTTGGCAATCGCGGTCACCTGAGGGGATGACACCTATCTCCTGCCATGCCCAGACCCGACGGTCGAATCCCAAACAAATCAAGTGGCAATCCCCACCCCGGTGTATGTCACCAAGAAGTTCGTACGTTAGTATCTGTCATGTTGATCGTAATTTTACATATCGCGCAAGATGCCTGACAAATCACCAGAACTCTGAGTGGTTTGAGAGTCCTCAGTGACTGCAATGATTTTGCGACTGAAACCACACTAAAGAGCGCATTCATGCATGCCAGAGGTCAGAATCACACCAAATTGTTGCTTAAGGTCACGATAGGTCGGACCGGGATGAAGCCAAACCGCTAATCATACGTTATGCTATGCCCTTTCGACTCACGTTATCTGGACCAGTCACGGGCTCGTCACGGGCAGTCACGGAATGTCTTAGTTATGCCGATCAGTTCGTCCCAGATCAATGGCACACGTGTCATGACATTTTCATCGCCTCACAAACGTCTGTTAGTGACCTGATATCAGCTCGCATTGCATGGCTTACCCCGACTGGCACACAATCAAAACAATCGATGAATTATGTTACAACGAGAAAACCCCGACTGACTGCCCGTAGAAATAAAAAATCACGGGAACCTTCGGTGATGGTGTCAAACTCCGTGAAGTGACCGCGCACTAACTTCTTCTACATAATGTACACGCTGATCACCCGACGGAAAGCTTAAATGTGCTTCCACCTTCTTGAACGGTTAGGCAGTTGTTCAAGAAGCTCGGAGGAGAGTTCCCCCCCCTGCCCCCCCCCCGGCCGTGGTAAGTTGACCCTGGCGTAACCCAGTGAAGGAGCGCATGCCAACCGTACGTTTTGCTCAAAACTCTCATCGATAGCGACCATAATGTCGCGATTGAAAGCAACTATCGTTTGCATGCAAATTCTTTATCATAATGTATTACGATATGCTTTAAGAATTAGTGTGTAATGGTTCGTCTGTTGTGGAGTAATTATAAAAGCCATATTTATTAAGCCCGCGGCGTATTTGAAGCCCCGCACACGAAACAAAACCTACATAGAAAGCGCATAGATAAACGCGAGGATAGTAGAGCGGTCGTGGAGGCATGGTCCATGGAATGCATTAAATATTAGAGGCCTTCCACACCGCCAATGACTTCGAATGGTGCATGATATAATCAAATAAAATTGGAAAACTCGAGCCGCTTTTAACTAAACGAACGCTTGGCAGCAAGAATTAGCTGGGAAACGGACATGGAGGGCACACTGCATCATACCTGTTTTATGCATGTTCAGAATATATACGTAATTGGATTTGAGCTTGCTTATTGGACTTTTGCAGCGACCGCTATTAACGTGTACACCGCTCCTGGCTCATCTGAAAAGACGTTTAAAAAGAACGCAAAATCGAGTAGGATGGCCAAAAGAGAACCAATGGGCGGGGAGAGGAAGGACAAATGGATCATGGGTCTCTATTACGGTGAAACCCAGACTTAGCCCCCGATGTGCTTTATGCTCGTGTAATTGCACTTTGCTCGATATGCTTGTGTAATTTGCAATATGTTCGAAAGCTGTCCCTCAAAATTCCATGCTTTAACCGCCTGTAAGAAAGACACACGGCTTTCACGATTCTAGAAATCGGGAGTAAGAGCTGTCCAACACAGGAAAACGCATCCAAAAAGCGAGCGAAGGTGATACAAAATAAAGCCTATTAACCTGAATTATAAGTACCGTTTTTCACCGAAATCTGATGAAAAACAAAACTCAGACGTAAGCCTCCAACAATATCAAGGATGCCTACTTTTGGACGATACCGCATACCGCACACATACCGCACACAAACATACTTTAAGTTCACTGTACCGTGCCTAGCGTCCGCTATTCTTTACGTATGTTGTAAGGCGCTTTCGTGACGTTTAAACTACCGTTGCACATGACGTTCAATCACCTCCTAATTTGTACCCAGAGGTGTCATTTCACATTGTTTAGTGGGCGCCTGGCCCCAAAATGCTGATTTAATGCCCCAATGTTGGTTTGGGCTCCCAATATATGTTCCTGGAGCATAACAACAATTTAAGAAAAAGCTAATCATCACACAAAGGCTACATTCTGTGGTCTTTGTTGTCTTGCCAAGAACACCAAGCAAGCAAAAGATCATTTGATGGATGATACAAAAGGTAAAACAAACAAAAACTCACTTGTCAATGAGTAAGCTGAATGAACTGAGAAACAGACATTTCGGAGAGACCATGCTGACTGCCCCCCCCCCCCCCCCCCCCTGACTGCCCAGCTCAATCATTTACACAAATCGATGCCACCGGCCGCACCCCTCATTTCACATTACCTGGCGTTGTAGCGGATGGGCAGCGTGGCCACGACACGTTCCCAGGCGTTGGCCTGCGGGCCAAACTCCCGCCACACAGACGACTTGCCGTTGGCGTCCACAATGTGGAGCGACGCCTCGCCCACGTGTGCTCCGTACATATGGATGAAGAAGCGGCACTGGGGCGGGCGGCGGCGCACGGTTAACGCTGGCACGAGGTACCGCCGTCCAGGCGTCACGGTACAGACGGCGGACATCGCCGGACAACGTCAGCCGGCGGACAACGTCGGACAACGTCAGCCGGCGGACAACGTCGGACGCTATCAGCCGGCGGACAAAGCAGGACAACGTCAGCCCGCCGAGGCCAAGCCGTGGACGGCAACAGCAGCCAGCCCGTGGACAACGCCAGCTGCCAGTCAGCGGATATTGCCAGACGTAAGCTGGCGCACAAGGCCGGATAACATCAGTCCAAAGGCAGCGCCAACATCAGTCTGCTGTCAGCAATACCGAGCACGAGACCACCGGAAATGACATTGAGTGGTGAGTGCCAGTCAGCAAAGAGCTGCACCCCCTCCGCCCCATCTCCCTGCTCGCTCTGATCCGGTTGTGCAATGGGTTGGGGCGCGGGAGTTTGCGTGGGGTGGTATGCAACGGGATCTCGTGAGCGCGACCCGAATCACGGATCCGCTGGTGGCGTTCAATAAATGACACAGCTCCTTGAAGAATTTACGTCATACGTGGTCATGATCGAGCCGCGGACGGGGCAGAGCATGACGGTGATACCTGGCGATCGTTAGTAGGTAACCCACATGAGACAAGCGACATCCATGCCGTTGGCGTGGCGAAACTATTGGAGTGAGCACCTTTTGGTGGCGAAATGATAAAGTCCTGCCAGATGTGATGACGGCTGACGTCACGAGCCCTGCCTCCAAAATAACAACTCTCATTATTCACAACATCCTATCCCATCCCATCCCACAACAACATCCTGCACGCCGCGTAAGAGCTCTGAAGAATCACGGAAGACAGCTCCGCTCGATGCGTGCCCTCTGGAGGAACGCACGCGCCGACAGACGTACCTTGCAGCTCCCGTAGTAGGGTGAGTTGCGGTCGCTGTTGTACTTGGGCATCGGCGGGAACACGGGCGACACGAGCAGACCGTAGCTCGAGAAGTTGCCCGCCTTCACGTCCAGGAACATGTAGTGACCTGGTCGGGCAAGGGAAGGAGGTCTTGAGGCTGGCATGGCGCAGAGGAGTGACGCTCGCATGGCCGAAGGGGTCGCTTTTAATGAAGAGCGCCCAACGCACGCCGTCACGCGACCTCGTCTGAAGAACTGGCGCCTGCAGCGGTCATGGCTAGGAAGTGAGCCCGCAGATCACAACGTCAGCCGGAAATCGAACTTTCCTTCGCGGGCTTCAGGGGCTTTCTTTCCCCACCGGGACTTTCCCGTGGGAGTTCCCATCTTTAACCACTGATGCCATTGCGCGCACGATGCCCGACGGCCGCGGCTCCAGATCGACAGAAGGCGATCTTTTGCTTGAGCCGCGACAGCTGGCCTGGGATTCCTTGATATTGAACACCGTATCAGCTGCGTCACGTCATTCACACGTCTCAAAAGCTCGGAATGATGTTTGATGTGTGACCACCACAGGCAGCTGTGACCTTTTCTCGACCTAAGCTCTAAAAGCACCGCTAGATCACGAGTGGCAGGAAACGAAATCTTCTTCGGTGGAAGCTCTAGACATGAGGCACACGACACAGGCCGTTCGCAAACATCGCGCGCTGGGTTAGTGTTACTCAGTAAAAGCGAAGCATTTGCCAGTCACCATCTCCCGTCACGCCCGTCTAATTCTGTAACTACATAGCAAATGTATTATCGTATTATCCTGTGATATTTTATTATAAACTAAACAAACCCGTCACGCCCCTCCATTCTCACCGAGGAGACGCCGAGGGGTATACGATTTTAACGAGACCAAACCGTGACGAGAATGACACAGAGCTACAGCCATACTACCCGTCACTTTTTGATAACGATAAAAATCCTGTATCTGAGACGAGGTCGCACAACAGGCTCAAAAATGTACCTGGGACTTTTTTTACCTTGCGGTCTCGAGGAATAGTCATCCGGGTATCCTTGCGACCGCCGGCAAAAATTATAACTACTGACACACAGTGACATGTAATTATATATTTATAAGCTGAGGTGCTTGGGTGCTTGATCTCCACTACATTGCCATTTTGATACTTTTATTTGGAATCACTGGCATAGCACTGTTAACTCTGTCCAGGACTTTTGATATGCTTAAATCTGGTCGTTTTCTTTATGAGTCCGGTTCCACGTGCAAGCATGTGGAACAATCAAGATGTATAGCCGGCTATACAAATAAACAGTGCCAACGAGTGTGACATTAACATACCACAAAGCGCGATGCGTTTTAGTTCACATGCGTGACCACCTCTCCATCGAAGCTTGAAACACTTAGGTACATTTTTCCTTTCCCGTGATAAGCACTGGAGATGGCACTCCCTTCATTTGCTTCATGAGCACTTGCTTTGCTTAATAAGCTTCCAATGGAGACCACGGCAGCCGCTGCTGCTACTCGTGCAGACACATCACTTGAGCCGCAGTCCAGACCACGCTTACCGAAGATGTCCACGGAAAGTGTTCCCAAGCATACCGTTCTCTGCAGAGCAATGCTACACTAGAGGGTGCAGACATGGTTAATGTTCACTTTTTCAGGAAGAATGATATTTACACGTAAGTGCAACAACCGTTGAAAAGCTGTTGCAAACGAAGTTTGGCGTCCAGTAGCGATCACAGCATAAGCAGGCGGAATCACACGTTAAGTTCTTGAGTATAGAAGCCATCGCCTTGATAAAAAGCATACTTGAAGTACCTCCAAACATTATCCAGTCCATGGTATTGCTCCCGATGTCGCTGAAATTGACACGCTCGTCCAAACGTCAAATAATATTTAACCAGCATCCAACCCTCCGACCAAACGGCTAACCCAAAGCGTTCATCCAACGTCCCACTCAAAGGCGGCGACTGCCTTCGAGCGGCGTCCTCCGTCGGCCTGGGGCGTCGAGTCCCCAGCTGCGTGCCGCCACCCCGAGACTGTGTACCGCCGAATCCGGGCGGCCGGCGCCACTGGCTGGCATCCGGCCGCGCGATAGGTCAAGTCGGCCGCCGCCGTCCGGTGCGTCCGCCCACAGGCCGCGTCCGGCGCGCGCCGGCCCGGAGGGCCGACGCCGCCCACGCGCCGCCCACCGGCCGCCCTCACAAAAGGTCGGCCCCGAATGTCGCGCGCGCCCGTCGACTCGGCACTATTGATGCCCCTCAGCTGGGCCTTGCCGGCTGCTGTGTACGTTGAGCAGCAGCTGTGCCGCCGGCGCCGATGGCAGCGACCGCCAGCCCGGCGTACGTGCCGCCTCATGCCGCACGTGCCGCCGGGACGGGACAGCCTGCTCATGCCGCACGTGCCGCCGGAACGGGCCAGCCTGCTCATGCCGCACGTGCCGCCGGGACGGGCCAGCCTGCTCATACCGCACGTGCCGCCGGAACGGGCCAGCCTGCTCATGCCGCACGTGCCGCCGGAACGGGACAGTCTGCTCATGCCGCACGTGCCGCCGGAACGGGCCAGCCTGCTCATGCCGCACGTGCCGCCGGAACGGGACAGCCTGCTCATGCCGCACGTGCCGCCGGAACGGCCCAACCTGCTCATGCCGCACGCGCCGCCGGAACGGCAGAGCCTGCTCGCGCCGCACGTGCCGCCGGAACGGGACAGCCTGCTCATGCCGCATGTGCCGCCGGAACGGGAGAGCCTGCTCATGCCGCACATGCCGCCGGAACGGGCCAACCTGCTCATGCCGCATGTGCCACCGGAACGGGCTAGCCTGCTCATGCTGCACGTGCCGCCGGAACGGAGCGATGCGAGCGAACTTAAATCGTGCAGCATGTAGACTGCGCTGCCGTGTGCCGGCTGACGCGTCACTGATAATGTTGCAGTGGCTTTCGCATTCTCTGTATGATAAAGGTCTGCGCGGATTGAACGCCATGCACTCAGTCCAATTCCGTCCACTACGTCTATGACCTAATCCATGCGCCACCCGCCTTTTCCAGCATAAAAAGTCCGGTCCAGTCCGATCCACTGTGGCGTGCATTTTGCTCAAAATCATCCGAATCAATCGCTTTCACCTTCCAAAACAAAATGACCGAAAATAAAATGTGAATCAGAGGTTGAAAGGGCTTGTTCAATTTTAATATTCGTTGAATTTGGTTCTAGATATCTAGTTTCACAAATCAGTTCTAGGTCTCAGTCATTCAGCTAGTCATGCTAACTGAAACGGCTGGCTGGCGACGTATCCTTTTGGTGCTGGCGACATGACCTTTTGACACACACAAACATTCACCTGTAAATCCGCCTTCCCATTTTTCCCCTATAATGGCCCAATCAAGGCTATGGTCCAATGACATATTTTCTGCAGGCTTTGTAGCTGTCTGGTTTGGGCTTTGCTAACACCATAACAACACGCACAACAGTATCAGGCATTCACGCAGATCTCATGCATGCCAGATCCTCTTTGTGTTGTTAAGATAACTTGCATAAGTATGACCAGAGTATGAACAAGCCTCGCGATGATTATTGGAATATCGTGAATTTGCGGCCACATTGCGGCCAAAGTTTTTGTGGATTTATTTTCACGTCGATAATAAATTATCGGTCATGATTAAAAAGGAAGCGGGAAATGTGTCTCCAGTTAAGCAACGCATTAGTTTCTTTACAATTTATTGACGGCTACACTATTTCTTCTTCCGCAATAAAAAACATGCAGAGCAGCCCAAAGTCCCGAAGGAAATGTTCGAGGCGTCATTATGAACAAAGTCTTTGATAAATTCCTTTACCATTCATATTTTTTCCGAAGCGTTACTGGACACGTGACATATCCGTCACGGATGGCAAAACGAAGCTCGGGAACGAGAAGGAGACGAGAACAAGAATCCGCACAACAAGCCCACACCCACGCGCACAGCGCGCCAGCGGTTGGACCAGCGGATGGCCTAGCAGGTGGCGCAGCGGGAAGCCCAGCAGTTGGCCGGGCGGTTGGCCCAGCGGGTGGCCAAGCGGGTAGCCCAGCAGTGCGTCCAGCGGTTGACCCAGCGGGTGGCCCAGCGAGTGACCCAGCGTGTGGCCCAGCGGGTGGCCCAGCGGGTGGCCCAGCGGTGGCCCAGCGGGTGGCCCAGCAGTTGGCCGGGCGGTTGGCCCAGCAGTCGGCCCAGCGGGTGGCCCAGCGGGTGGCCCAGAGGGAAGCCCGGCGGGAAGCCCAGCAGTTGGCCGGGCGGTTGGCCCAGCGGGTGCCCAGCGGGTGCCCCAGCGGGTGCCCCAGCGGGTGCCCAGCGGGTGGCCCAGCGGGTGGCCCAGCGGGTGGCCCAGCGGGGCGCTGTCCTCGGGCGTCGCACTGACCGCTGGCGTTGCCGTAGGTGTGGTCGGCGGCCGGCGCGGTCATCTCAGCCGCCTGCAGCCCCGAGTAGTAGTTCCACTCGAGGTGTGCCTGGCCGTTCTCCCACCCGCACTGGCCTGACTCGAAGTCGCACGGCGTGCCCTCCGGCGTCTGGTCTGCAGCGCCAGTGAACACGTGGTCAGACTCCGTCAGCGGGGTGGGGGTCGTGAGTGCCGCCAGACAGTGTGACAGGGCACAGTGCGCCACCAGACAGCATGGCGGAGCATAGTGTACCACCGGACAGTATGGCGGAGCACAGTGTGCCACCAGATTGTGTGGCAGAGCGCAGTGCATTACCGGACTGTGACAGAGCAGAATGCGCCTCAGGACAGCATGGCGGAGCACAGTACGTCACCAGACAGTGACAGAGGAGAATGCGTCACCGGACAGCATGGCAAAGCACAGCGAACCACCGGACAGCATGGCGGAGCACAGTGAACCACCGGACAGTATGGCGGAGCACGGTGTACCACCGGACAGTATGGCGGAGCGCAGCGCGTCACCGGACAGAGACGGAGCAAAATGTGCCACAGGACAGCATGGCGGAGCAGAGAGTTCCGCCGGACAGTATGGCGAAGCACAGCGTACCACCGTACAGTATGGTGGAGCACAGTGAACCACCGGACAGTATGGTGGCGCTAGGGTACCACCGGACAGTATGGCAGAGCACAGTGTGGCGGAGCACAATGTGCCACCATATGGTATTCCACCGGACAGTGTGCCACCAGACAGTATGGCGGAGCACGTTACGCCACCAGACAGCTCAACAGACCACCATGCGTTAGCGCACAGCACGTGAGAGCACTGAGCGTCACTGAGCGCCACGACAGAGCACTGCAGGCACCTGAACAGCGTGTCGGACCGCTGCTGCCCCCTCCCCCAACGCTGGCGCACCGCCCTCCCCCTCCCCGCGCCCCACACAAATCAGTATCGGACGCTGACGCTCCACGGAAGGCAGTCGGCTGGCGTGCAAGCCGTCAGAAGTACGTGACCTGCGAGAGAACGCGGCACGGGCAGCGGGGCGCGCGATGCATGGCCCCCCTGGCGGCCGCTTCGGCCGAACTCGAGCGCGGATACAACCGGAGCGGGGCGGGCAGGGGGGGGGGGGGGTGGAGGGTACGGATCGCATAGCCCAGTCGCAGCGCGCAAGACGAGGTCCACCACCCAGGAGACGTTGGATAAACTCAGTCCGAGGCCGATCCCACGGAATCAGAGAGGCATTCGTTGACGGTTGGCAGAGAGAGAGAGAGAGAGAGAGAGAGAGAGAGAGAGAGAGAGAGAGAGAGAGAGAGAGAGAGAGAGAGAGAGAGAGAGAGAGAGAGAGAGAGAGAGAGAGAGAGAGAGAGAGAGAGAGAGAGAGAGAGAGAGCAGCGAATTCTGTACGCGGAGTTCGCACAAAGGAGCGCCCACTCGCGTGATTCGGCCATATGACGGGATAAAGGAAACTTGCACACTGACATACTTAGCTTCGCTGGATCTGAATGACTGGATACACCACATTATAAAGAAAATAAGTCCCATACAAAGAGCACTTACGGCGTACAAGGCAGAGAGAGAGAGAGAGAGAGAGAGAGAGAGAGAGAGAGAGAGAGAGAGAGAGAGAGGAGAGAGAGAG